GAGCTTAAAGGGCCCATGAAACGAATTTCGGGTTGGGATAAATCATTTTCGATTGGGATTTTACTAATAGCACATCGTTCAGTGGGCCAAAAGAAAAAAGGTAGAACGACAAAAGCCTGACTTTCAGTGCGAAAATTTGAAAACACGGCGGACTATTTCGTACCTCCTCCCTTTCGTAAGCTCTCTGCCTTTTCACTGCGATACATCCGCGGTCCCAAAAGCGCTTCATCGGGTCCAAACGCACGTCACACGAAACAGGACCTCACTTATTCCCTTCACCCCTAAGCTAACATTAGCGAGTTTTAGTACACCGTGTTTCCCGCTCCGCTAAGCCCCTCCGCTACCCGGAACTCTGCAGCCAAGGCCATCGGCGCGCAGGCGCAGTGGCGGTTTCTTCGTAGCGGAGGGCTAGCGGAGCGGGAAACACGGTTTACTAAAACTCCCTATTGTGGTGGAAGCTACGCGCTTGCCGGACCAATCAGCCGCCTCCCTTTTATCACCTGATCTCGTTCTCTGCGCGTGAGTATGCGCGAAGGAGCGTGATCACGTGTCAAGCGTGGCTGGCCCAACGAGCACGTAGCTTCCACCGCACTGTCAGCTTCAGGGTGAATGGGGTGGGGAAAGCAACTTTTGTTTGAATCTTGAGCGACGGGCTAATCTTCTAGGGGGACAACGGCTCTGTCCGGGTATACATAAACAAGATTCCGAGCAAGAGGAGCCTCCCCTTTTTTCGTCTCCTTGAACTGTTTGGTGGAATGAGCGATTTATGAGTTGAGGAGGAAAGCTAAACAGGAAAAAGTTGGAAAAGCGTTTCATGACCCCTTTAAAGGACCCATGAAACGAATTTTGGGTTGGGATAAATCATTTTAGATTGGGATTTTACTAATAGCATATCGTTCAGTGGGCCAAAAGAAAAAAAGGTAGAAAGTCAACAGCCCGATTTTCAGTGCGAAAATTTGAAAACACAGCGGACTATTTCGTACCTCCTTCCCTTCGTAAGCTCTCTGCCTTCTCGTTGCGATACATCCGCGGTCCCCAAAGCGCGTCATCGGGTCCAAACGCACGTCACACGAAACCGGACTTCACTTATTCCCTTCACCCCTAAGCTGACATTGTGGCGGAAGCTACGCGCTCACCGGACCAATCAGCCGCCTCCCTTTCATCACCTGCTCATTCTCTGCGCGTGGGTATGCGCGGAGGAGCGTAATCTAGGGAGCCTTCATGTGCGCTTTGCTAGGGTGATGCCACCCTTTGTAATACCACTCGCCGACAAACCAGCAGCCATTTTGGTCCTCGGCGATAATCCGTGGGCTTATAACTAGGGTTCCGCGTTTTCGGTTTCTATTTTTTCAAAATTCGGCGTACTTTTTTCGGTGTTTATTTTAATATACAATTTTCGGTTTTTTTCGGCGGATATTTATGCCCACAAAAGTTTATCGGCTTTTTTCGGTGAATATAAAATAAACACCAACGGACACCGGATCAGTTGATCCTTGTACGTAGCTCTGATGTTTGTGATCACTCAAAGAAGAACGGCACAGATACATTGAAAAAGAAATGGACACTTCGTTTGGCAAATGTGTGCAACTGTAAAAGAAACAAGAAAAAAAACCATAGAAGTACAAACAAGTCAGATATGAAGCCTATGCCCAATAAACATGGAACTTCACTTTCTGTACATCAGGATTACGCAATCTCATTATAGTACACACACATGTACTTGCCAAGGTTCTTCTCCTTAATCCGCACTATTTCTCTTCTGTTAATATGCCCCTGAGCTTCGAGAATGCCCTCTCAACGCTAACACCGGACACGGACAGGCTGAGGAGATGAAGCGCTGCCTGAGCCAGCATCGGCCCATCAACCAGTTGTGACCGCCGAAAAAGGCACGGTGCGACGTTTTAAAGCACAACACAACATGCAGAGCTTGGATCACGTCAGTCTTCCTTACAACGAGTTTGAAAGCAAGCTCGTACATGGCGAAGTCATGGGGCATTTCGGACTTCACGTTCCGATCAATGATGCGCACATTAAACCAAAACGTTGTGATGCCATTCGTGTATCCCATACTTTCTGACACGTTTCGATAGACACTGTCGTTCCACTTTTTTGCCACGGCTCTGTTGTACGACTGGAAGGTCAAAGTGACCTTTTCCGGTTAACACTGAATTTTAGAAAATGGACTGGACGAACTTTTATCGGTTTAAATCGAAAATGCCGAACCTAAAAACTGACCTTTTTCGGTTAAAACCGAATTTCCAAAAATGAATTCGGCGTACTTTTATCGGTTTTTATCGGTTTAAAACGAAAACTCCGAACCCTACTTATAACCCTCCTGGAAACAAACACCTTATCTCACAAGTTCGGAGCAGCGTTGTGGAACCCATGGAGGGAGGATTAGCATTTCCCCCCTCGGATGGGAGGACCGATGGACACGAAGGCCACTTTCCGGCGCACGCGAAAACAATGAGGAACAATATGGCGGTGGACGAAGGTGTGGGAAAGGGAAACAGGCAGTTGGCATCACCCTATGCGAAGCGCACATGAAGGCACCCTAGCGTGATCACGTGGCAAGTGTGGCTGGCCCAACGAGCACGTAGCTTCCACAGTACTGCCATTTTCGGGGTGAACGGGGTGGGGAAAGCAACTTTTGTCTGAATTTTGAGCGACGGGCTAATCTTCTAGGGGGAGAATGGTTCTGTCCGGGTACACAAACCACAAACCAGCAAGAGGGGCCTCCCCTCTTTTCGTCTTCTTGAACTGTTCGGTGGAATGCGCGATTTATGAGTTGAGGAGGAAAGCTAAACAGGAAAAAGTTGGAAAAGCGTTTCAGATACACATGGCATCCCACATTCAACTGGGACATACCAATTTCAAAGTTATGAACTCCAGATACTAAAAATCTGGTCCATTCAAACCTGCCCCTCTAGATACGCAGTGAGTGCCAAGTTCATTATCAAGTTTTGAAAACCATTGCTTTTTTCCTACACCTTATATCACATTCCTGCGGCACCACGGGCCTCAGGCACGGGCCAATGGCCTTTCTGTGATGCTGCGACCCTCCAGGGTCGAATAAAGACTATCTATCTAAAGACTATCTATCTCGTTAGACTCACATAAGATGAAACTGATCCCTTATGCCAGGGGTCTCAAACACGCGGCCCGCGACTCATTGGGACGCGGCCCGCAGGCAACCGGCTACGCGTCCCGGTTCCCATGTATCGAGCGCTAGAAATGGCACGCGCTATAGTGATCTCATCCTGCCGATTCATTTTCTCTCGAAATGTCGCTCTGCTCTTTCAACGTATATTCACATAGTTTTTACTTATCGGTGTTCATTTAACCTTTCTTTTGCTTTTTTCTTATGGGGCCAGCTTTTTGTAACGCACAACCATTTCAGTACTCGGCTGCAAGCACGAGCTCTTTGTTGAAGAATGCATATCGGCTGTGCGAACTCTCGATCAGCAGAAGGAACTGCCAAAGATAAAGCTACAAGCTCAGGAATCTCGCCTAAAAAAGAAAAAAAGAAGAAAATATCATCATTAAAAGACAAGTATGGGTGTTGGTAATAGAAATCGTCAGGAAAGCAAGAACTGCCAAATAACTTGTTCTTTTTTTAGATAAATGTTCAGCTTGGTTAATTCTTGAGTGAATTGAGCAACAGGAACGACAGTGTACTTGCTCTTTTGTTCTATTAAAAATGCGAGCACGTTGGTGGGGCGGTGTCATCTTAATTATTGTTATCCCGTCAGGTCACAGCCCAAAGTATTCATATAAAGAAATCACATCTAAAAATGTCACGGACAAAACTGAGTTTACAAAAAGCGTAGAGCACGAGGTCTGTTCAGTTTTAAATCGTTCCTCGGTCTAACGTTGGCCCTCGGCCTTTCCAGAGTCGGCTATCCGGCCCCCACTCTCAAATGAGTTTGAGACCACTGCCTTATGCTAAGTTTCCAGAAACTCCACTTAATTTGCATGTTTTGGCACAAAGTGGCATATAGTGGATGGTGTTTCGAACCACAGGTTGCACGAGAGCTCCGTAAAGTTGGTTTCCCCTGTGAAAATTCTAGGAATGTTCGCAAGCGAACGTTCCAAGAATGTTGCGCATATGAATGTCCGAACAGAAACATTCCGAGAACATTGTGCATACGAATGTTCGCCAACGAACGTTCCTGAATGTTGAGCAGCTTACCTTTAGGGAATGTTCACATACGAACGTCACCAGAACGTACCGAATGGTTTTTTAACGTTCCTTCAACGTTCAGAACATGCAGGGATTGTTCGCACATTTGGTGCTACGTGGGATTTAGTGGTTAGAGTCGGTACTTGTAAGAAACGGGAAGTGTGAATTTGATCACCGAGGGGCTTCCCTCTTACTTGTCTTCCTCTTCCCTGTCTCAGGTTCAGGCAGGCACGTAGCCAGGATTTTGCTTCGGGGGGGGGTGGGGGGGGGGGTAGGGTAGTAGTAGTAGAGAGAGAGGAGGCCCCAGCAAAATGGAAGATTTCGGGGTAGGGGGGGGGTCGGGCCCCATGCCCCCCCCCCCCCCCCCCCTCCCTGGCTACGTGCCTGGGCTCAGGCCTGCCAAGTATTTATGTATTGCTTTATAACCCCTCCCCCCCCTTCCCCAATTTTACTGTAATGCCCCCCGGACGACGTACCTCATACCTACGTCACGTAGGTATGAGACGAATAAATGAAATCAGGAAAGATACACACACACACACACACACACGCACGCACGCACGCACGCACGCACGCAGACAGACAGACAGACAGAGAACGGTCAGCAATGTTGCAACTGCAACTTTGCAATACGTTCCCTCAGATGCCTCCACGCAAGACACATTTTATCTCCATCCCCGTGCCCCATCTTTCTCCCAACCCCCTCCTCTCAATTTCGATACTTTTCCCTCCCTTTTGTTTTTGCTATTCAATTTCTGGCGCCCTTGCCATGCCCTTGTCCCCTGGAGTTCGCTTCCTTGCTGCCGCCGCCGACAGATGGCGACTCCACGGGCATCCATTCTTCGATAGAGAGCAAATCTTGGGGCCATGCAAAATTGTTTGGGAAATGTCGTTCTTCGATGACTCCGATCCCCGCTTAATCGCCCAATGCTACTCGCTGGATACCGCAGCCCTTCCCGTCTCGTGAGTAGCCCGATCCGTCCAACGATGCCGCGTTTTCAATAAACCGCAAACGTGAAGTCCGTAGCCCCGAGCCAAGAATCGTTCCATTCGTAACGTCGGTCGAGATGCTGCCGTGCTCTACGTCGCTCGTCTTTTCACCGCTGCTGCCGTTGCTTCCGTCTCATTTTTCTCTTTCTGCGCACGATAAAGCTTAGGTAACGTCGAAAGTTGCTCACGTACTCGACTACATGACCACGGCGTACCGAGGGTGCGCTTGAAGAGGCCAGCGTATTGTTATTGTGAAGGGATTAAAAAGACGGGAGAAGGGGGAGCTCTAGTTGATATTTGAGTGACGGGCTGCTCGAACAGCTACCTAGGTATGCGGTAGTATTTTATGTTCTCTAACAGTTGAAGCTCGGAATGCATTCGTGCGTTTATGAGCAATGCAGCAAGGCGTCAACGCTAATCGAGATTGCAGTGATCGCTTATCCTCGAAGGATCGCTCTTTTTCTAAACGCGCATGTTGCGACCCACACCGTGTTGCTTTGTCTGTTGGTTCCGTGTGCTCCCGTTCGGTGCATTCACTCGACCTAAGTGCGCACCGGTCTCACAAAACGCTCAGCGCCCGTGCTATTAGAGAGATATATGTGCCCAGGATTTTATATGGGGCTATTATGCTCGGGGGGAACGGCTTCGCCGTGGCGAGTTTTGGAGCCTTTAGGAGGTCGCAGATGCGATCACGGCTGACACGAACGTGTCGGCTTTTGCATGTTCTCATCAGAGCCACGGAAGTTAGCCACGACTGCGACTGAGAATGGCTCGTCGAAAGTCGTCCGAAAAGTCAAACCAGTCTCAAAAGCTGAGCAACCTCAAGCTGAAGAACAAGGCCAATTCGGACGATGAGAACTTCACCTGCTTCAAGGATCAGCTGAAGGCGATGGGTCTTACTCTTCGGGAAATACAGGGAGACGGGTAAGTCTCTCCCCCGAATCACCTCCACTGATTTCGGTGTCTCTTTTGGATCACCTAATCGGTTGGAAAGCACCTTGAAGCTTGCTGCCATGCTACCACATAAGCTCACTGTTCAGCTTGCAACCATGCTACCACATAAGCTCGCTGCTCAATTTTCAGCTATGTAAGCTTACTGATAAGCTTTTTCAGAGTTTTTTTTTAATCCTATGCTAGCATCATGTAGGATAGCTTAGCTCAACACACATTTTGAAAAACAATGCATATTGTGATGGTAACTATTTTACAAGTATGTTTACTTTCTTGTATAGAGGTATGAACAACTCGAACAACAGACGAGTACCTTTTGCTCAGTTACAATCGCAAAGTCACTAATAACTGAAAAAAAAAAAAGGAAAGTTGTACAAAATATTTAACGAAAACAGATTGATTGATGAGGGTTCACCTGTCTCCTGTAGAAACTGAATTAACTTCTCCATTAAAATTGAATAAAAAGAGATCACACACTTGAAGTGGATTTTGAGGTTGTCTGTTTATGGTGATAACTTAATCTATGCGGAGGCATGCGGTTTAGAGAAGCTCGTTTTAGCGAATGCCGTTTTACTAACCCCGGTTTATCGAATGCTTTTATAGGGAAACCCAGTTTAGAGAAAATGGCGATGAGCCTCCTTTTAGCGAATTTGGTCGCCGTGAAGCGGCGTGTACGGGTAAATCAGGTGAGTTACCGCATTTATTTGAATATAAGGCGAGGTTTTTTTTCCAAAATCCGTAGTCTCAAAGTCATACCCCGCCTCATATTCGAAGCACAGTATAGCAATATGACGATTTTTTTCTTTTTCTTGGGTCCTTGAACTGCCCCCTCGCCTTATAATCGTGACCACCTTATATCCGAATAAATATGGTAACATCTTTGCAATGAGCCGCCGCAGACTGCCGCCGCGAAGCGGCGGGAGCGCAGCCGGGGGCATGGCTTAACACGCGCACCAGTGATACACGCGAAAAGTAGGAAAGCCTTTTTTTAAAAAGCGTCCCCTTTTCGATTGACGGCGTTTCTCTAAACTGAGGCTCTGCTTTCTCTAAACCGTGCTTCGGTAAAACATACCCATTCTCTAAAACGTGCTTCGATGAAATGGCATTCGATCAACCGTAGTAAACTCCAATCTATGGGCTCTAAGCATCCTAAAAAACCCAAAATTACACATGGGTGGCTCATTTCCCTATTAAAACTCTAATCAAAGTTTGGTACGTGCACCTCTTTCTGTGCCTTGGAGCAGAAACCAGATGGTGCCGTCAGGCGGCGTTTTCAAACAATAATTACTGCATTACGTCTCCTACGGCGAACTATTTTATCTTGTCAGAACCATAATCTGCAACATGCCTAAAAAAAAGCAATAATAGTGACATTTGAAATCTCAATGCAATTAACTATCTTCATTGGTCAGATTTAATGGAGGTGGTGGGGACCTGAGGATGACCCCCTTAAGTGAAAATGATGCCTGTGTATTTCTATGCGGAGCGCAAGTTCGTCTGCTTCTTACATTCTTACAGAGGGGTGCGATGATGTCAGAACGCCAAGCTCTTATTGGCTGATTGAAAGAAATAGTGGTAGACCTTAAGACATCTAGCATTGAGGTCTACCCTCTATCCTTTCAATCAAAGCCAATCGGAGCTTGGCGTCATTCTGACGTCACTGCGACTCCTGCGCAAGAAGCAGACGACTTGCAATCCGCATTGCTGCGAGTTTACTAGGACGTCTTGCCACCTATAGACCAACACGCGGCTCTGACGTCACGCAGCTGCGGTGGCGCTGTTGACGGCACTGCGCATGCGCAGACGCTTCACTTCACGCGAATCTGGTTTCTGCGCACGCGCAGTGCCCGCACCTGGTGTGGACAAACGCAGGCTTGTTTGTAAACAGTGTGTCGGTCTATACCCTGTCCCACCTTAAAGACCGACGAGCAGTTCGCACTTTACACTTTTCTCCCCCCTTCTTTCTCTCCACCTCCTCCCTGTCCGCCGTTTCCTGTTTCCTCCTCCCCCATGGTGAGGAGGATCTTCTGCCTTGCAGAATTTCGAGTCTCGTCGTCGGCCTTTAAGTGCGAGCAAGAAGCTACAAGAGCGAGTGCAATGCTCCGAGTGGGCCTTCTGTGCACACGTGCGGTTGTGAAGTGCAAGCAAAGTTTAAAGCGGGGCTGGGCAGAGATGCTCCATAAAGTATTTCGAAATACAAATACTGAGATGCATGTATTTTAAGGCCAAAGTACAGATACTCAGATACATTTGTTTTCTTTGTAATGGGATATCCCTGAAATTGTTCTGCAAAAACGACAAAGTGTATTCCGGAATACAGATGCGGATACACACAGAAACAAATTTTTCCTAATTGGTGGAAGGTGAGAAGGGTGCAGTTTGTGGCAAATGCAATTGATAGGGCTTGTGCTCCTTTCTTTGTGTCACTGTAAGCCACTCCCCTCGCCTCGGTCTCTTTGTCTATTCATAACTACAACCCCAAATGCCGCTAAAAAGTTATTATCGCCCCCAGCGACCCACATAGGAAGCCAGCAACTGCCTGCCACGCTCGACAAAATGCATCTGGCCAAAATTAATCCTGCTTTGCCGTGAGGGTGCATCTCCAAGTTGTCATTAAAGGGCAACTCCGCTCAATTCCGAAAAATTTAGGCTTACATGTGATTCCATTTCATAAAGCACTACTAAACAGCTGTACGTCTTCGGATTCGCGAAATGTGGAATATTATTTGTGTAATCCTAATTTAAACATCAGCTGATACCGAAACCGAAACTTCGGTTGCGTCAGGCAACATTGGTCTCGGGTCGTCAGAGTCATGGCCACGTCACGTCGAACCACGTGGTCTTGTGACGTTCGGGAGGGAGCGAGGGACAGGACAGGCGACGCGGGCAGGTCGCTTCGCATGGCGTGGACGGTGATGGCCCGGGGGTGAGGGGGAAGGGGAGAAGACGAAAGAGGAGAAGGGGAGCGGAGAAACAGACCGATAAGCGCACAGGGCAGCGCAAACTAGCGCATCCGCGTTACGGTGATCACGTGGACGCCGTTCAGCCAACACCGGGAAGAGAAACTCATGACGTCATCGTTCAATTTCGCTCCGAGAAGTAAAAACAAACAAAACGTGAGAATGACGTAGTCATGCCTCTGACGTAGTGGCTCAACGTTGGCCACTCCAACTCCGTCGCAATGACTGCACTGACGATTGCGCCTCACGTCGCACGCTAGAGTTGGCAGATTTCGGCGACTTGGCTCACCTGAAGGTTTGCTGGCCAGTTTATTAAATATATAGACGGAAATAGATCTTAATATTTGACATGGGGTCTTCCTATATGATATTGAAGAGAACCACATAGTTTTCTAAATATCAAAAATGAAGCGGAGTTGCCCTTTAAGTACTTGTGAGTCGAAACTGCAGCTTGGGCGAGTTGGTTGAAAGTGTTACCGACTTTAAAGGGGCCCTGCAATGACTTTTTTACTAATTTTTAATTTGCACCGAACCTGAGCGCGCTGAACGTAGTAACTTAATGAAACTTTTCTTTTCTAGAATTTCGCTTTATTTTAAAAGTTACAGGCCAATCAAAATGACAAAAACAAGCAAAAAAAAAATGAAAGCCGTTTTCAACGCCCAGTAACACCGAATTAGAGCACAGCTCTTGAGGAGGAGGAGGAAAGGGTACTGAGGGTCACGTGTTCTCGGGGGGGAGGTCACGCGACCCCTCGAGGTCGCTCGACCTTGGTGGGGTCACGTGACCTTGGGGTAGGGGGGTCCACGTGGGGGGTCACGTGACCTCGGGGACGGTCACGTGACCCCCCAGAGAAATTTTTCCGTTAGATTTAGCGGGGAAATTTTTCCGTTAGATTTAGCAGGGAAATTTTTCTGCTAGATTTTAGCGGGGAAGTTTTTTTGCTAGATTCAGCGGGGAAAATTTTCCGCTAGATTTAGCGGGGAAATTTTTCCGCTAGATTTAGCAGGGAAATTTGTCCGCTAGATTTAGCGGGGAAGTTTTTCCGCTAGATTTAGTGGGGAAAATTTTCCGCTAGATTTAGCGGGGAAATTATTCCGCTAGATTTAGCGGGAAAATTTTTCCGCTAAATTTAGCGGGGAAATTTACCCATAATGCACCGCGCGGTTACGGCGACGCCAAAGGCGACGCCGCTCAAGCCGGAAACGGGCGCCTAAGAGCTGCGCTCTTATAACCTCCTTCATGACGTTCTTGGTTGCTTGAGTGGCCGTGAACTAGAGGAGGGCTAGTGAGCTCAGCGAGCGCTCACGGCTGCCGCACTCCGTGTCGACGACTCGAGAGGGCGCCACTAAAGCATGTTCTGGATAGGCTGGATGAAGCGGGCAGCCAGGGCGGTCCGCATTGCATTTGCTGCGCGATTAAACACTAATTCGGCATGACACTTCATTGGCCACAAACAGCAGCAAACACGGGGTAAAGATCAATTCAGAATGTGAGCCACTTCGCGCTGCCATACCGCGAAACGGCCAAACCGCCTGACAAAGCTGCTCGCCGAAGGTCTTCGGAATGCTTGGAGCTGGTCGGATCCTCCAGTCCCTACGAGCGCAGCGCCGTCGCATACATCCGGGACCTTTCCGGTGTGGGCGCCTGATCTCACTACTTCCTTTCTAGTATGCGCCACCTTTTCCACCGCTTGGTGGCGGGTATGTCGACGGGTCATTTCTTGTTTCTGTACTTTATAAACTGTATTTGTTTCTTTTCTGATTCAAAATACTGAACAAAAACTACTTTTATGAATAATTGAAACGGTTTGCACCATTTATATTTTGTATTTCGACTAAAAAGAAGCTTTTGGCGGCTCCGACCAGTAGTAAGCCCAGAATCAAAGACGTCACATATTGCGCGCTTTCGGTACCGCGGGTCGCTCTTGTCGGTGGAGGAGGTTTCCGCGTCGTCCGGTTAAAATATCACGCACTGATATTTAGTTACTCTCTCCGTGCCTGCTGGCTTGCCCGAACCCAAAGAGACGTGGAAACCGCAAAAAAGGTAGACTCCTAAATACGATTGCAGGGCGCCTTTAAAGACCGCAGTTAGCGCACACAAAAAACTACATACTGACTCACACTGAACACTGAACTCATAAGTCTATTTTGTATTTCGCCTTTGTTAGTTTACCTGGCCTCAAGAAGATAATAGCAGAAAATTTTGTGCATTGATTTAATAAAATAGAAAAAATAAAACCGAAATATAAAATAGGGTTGCGAGTTCAGCGCAGTGTGCATGTTATGTGCTGTGTGTGTGCTAATGGTGTGCTGTGAAGTAGGTAACTTGTGAGTCACCCAGGGCAGGGAGAGTGAACGACAGCCTGTCTCCACTGAGGCCCCCCAGTCTACACGAAACCTGGTAATATACGAGGAAAGGAAGCTCTCGCAAGTTCTCTTCTGTCTGTGATTGGTGGTTTCACCTTCCTTGCCACCACTTTTTTTTGTTTCATCTTTGTTTCCACATTGTAGCTGCCTGTAGAGGAGGTTGTGGGGCAGGTTCACCGAAAAGGTGGTTTTCAGTTTATCGTAAAACCTCGGCAGTTAATCTTCTTCAAAAAGTGTAACGAGATAGCTAATCCTGACAGAGTATTGCAATGCGATCAATGCATGGCAAATGTATTTCACCATTGATACACAAATACATTTTTCAAATGTATCTCGATACAAAGATACTGATACTCGAAAGTGTCTCTAATGTTCTGTCACAATATATTTGTATTGTGATACTGCCCAGCCCTGGTTCAAAGCAACACCTCTGTTGTCTGCTTTGCTCACATTTATAGAGACACAAAATATAAATAAAATCAAACCAACTCTGGTATTACTGCTGTGCTGTTCGTGAAGTGGCAGGTTCTAGCGTACAAGATCCACTTTGCATATTTGCCCAGTATTGTGGCCAATAATATATGTGGCTCTTTATCTAAGAGGTCCTGCCTTTTATTTTTATTGAGAACATAAGAAAACAGGCGGATAACCGGCCACGCGATATGTCAAACAAGCAGTGATTTAAGGTAGCAGATGCAGGAGGAGACCAATTCGTAGCACGTCCAGCAGGGCATGTCGTGCCATAAAGGAATTCTTGTCGGAGTACAATGGAGGGACGGACCTCAAGGCTGCTAGGTCCAGCACAGGTCAACATACTTTCTGATGCAAGAAGTGTTTTATCATCTGTTATAGATGATAAAACATCCATTATCATCTGTTATAGACTGACAAATTCTCTGCAAACAGAGTGTAAATTACGAGGCAACCGCTGCTGGCACTATGTGACCATACATTTAGTGAAAAAGTAATGCTTGACTGAATAAAGCACAGAAAATTGCCTCAGCCTTGCTCGAGTTTAGTAGCAATCCACAACACTGCAGGAAAAAGAAAAAAGGAAAAATAAGATGCATGTTTCAATTTTGAGTTTAAGTGGTACTGAAAAGGCAGCACTTTAAAGTCGTTGGGAGCTGCTTCAAGGCCGAACAATGGTGCTGTCAAGGCATCTCAAAGCCGTGTCTAAAAAAGCGTTTCAGTGTTGTTTTGTCTTCATTTTATTTGCTGCGAGACGTCACCACTGAAATTGTGTTAACTTGACATACCCTCGGTTGTTAGCAAATGTGCAAGCAAAACACGTGATTCTTGTCTGCCTATTGTGACTGTGAAGGGACCCTTCTATAAGTATCATGACTGCGTGAGTCATGGTAGGCAAAATTCTATTATACTTTCCCGAAAAATGGTCTTGCCCCGTTTCTGTTTAATTTTTAGTTATTGAAAGAATACTAAAGGGTGTCCCACCCCTAGAAAAAAGTGCTCCTTCGAGTAGTATCTGGTAGATAAGTGAATGAACAAAGTTCTTTCTATGGCTTTAAAATAACATCATACTGATCACATGGTCCACATCAGCCGACATTAGCCCTGAGAAGATGGAGTGGCACCACCTGATGTCCTCCTCACCACGACGTAGGATCTGGGATCGTGCGACTGTTTTTGCACTTCTGTTGTTCCATGTAGGTTGAGCAGCTCTGTTCTTAAATCACGTTTAATTCGCTATTTTAAATTAGTTTTTGCGGTTTCTTTTAGCCTAATCTTTTTGTCATACTACTCATCAAATTTGAACTCGAGGAATGCGGCAGCAGTGGAGGCACGGCCTGCGGAACGGAACCGTGTTATCGTACTGACCATGACACAGCCGGTCCTGGTCGTTGACTTCGGAGGCTTGTCAAGTGACCGTACAGGTAGCTCCTGGGACGGTACGGTTCCCGGGTCGAGTTCCCTTTTTTTACAATTCATTGAAAACAGCAAGAACAAATAGAAATTAATCGCAACGAAGGTCGAGCACGCGTCATTCTGATTGCCAGTTTTCGTTTGCTTTCGCGGCTCTGAGACTGCCGTGGTTCGTAAAAGCTATTCGAGTGTCAAAATGCACGGAAGCGTGTTGTCGCCACCGTCACCTTTAGCGGTACCTTTTTGCGCTCGATGCTGACGTGACATTCGACAGGGAAAACATTAAAGCGGCATCGCGTAACTACCGTACCTACCGAGACATGCGCTAGCTCAATCTGTGTTGGTGTTTTTACAGCAGTCACCTCGAAATAAAAGGGCATACTCGAAAAATAAAGTATGTACCACATGAGACAAAGGTAATCCATACTGTGTTTGGACGTTGGTAGCCACGTTGTTCGTTAAAAGGGCCTAAAATGCCCTCTGAAGCTACGTCACCTACGCAAAACATGCATTAATTTCGATTTGTGAATTCTAAATTGTTTTAGGTTTTGTCCTGCATACTTTTTTTTTTGTAATAGCAACAACAAAGTGTCCTGAATGAACAGCCTCTAGACCTACACGTTAAATCACCAAACCAAAGTGGAGCAAAGCAGAGAAAATATTTGGCACTGTCACACGATCCCAGATCCTACGTCACAATTGAGCAATCGAGGCACTCCAATCAATCTGGCTCGGGGCTGATATTCGTGGCTTTCTGAGCATCTATAAGTCGAGCAGCTTTTCACATTTCTGTTTTTTTAGTCGAAGAATGTTTCCCTTTTCCACCCTATTTTCCGTCTGAAGAAAATGGGGCTATCCTTCAGGCTATTCTGGTAAGCGACAGTTACATACCTACTGCATTCTTGGTGCCGCGTTGGCAACATGCACTTTCTCATCATCATCAGCAAACCTTAATCAATTTGCTGTTTATTTAAAAAAAGTCATTTTGGTCTGGATTGTCATTTGAGTGGTCGGTCTCTCCGCAGTGCCATTGAGCACACCATGTTCTTGGCCACGAGAATGAGAGCAGGCAAACTTTTGTTGTTTGCCCTGTGGCGAGTGTTTAGGGACGTCCTCACGGAGCAGACATGTTGTTCTGCTTCAGGAACTGCCTATTTCGTGCCCTCAACGACCAGCTGGAAGGTCACACGAGGAACCACCTCAAGTATCGGTACGAGACGGTGCAGTACATGAAGGAGCACAGGAACGACTTCGAGCCTTTCGTGGAGGACGACGTTCCCTTCGACCAGCACCGTGAGTGTCCGGGAAGCCGCGTTCGTCCCTTCGGCAAACTTTGCTTGACAGTACGACGTTACACTGGCACTCGCTCGCGATTTGGTGATGCAGCTTGACGTAGAGAACCGGGAATGATTGCGCAGGTTTGTTGTATGCTCTATTCGCCTCTGAGCCGACAGCGCGGTGGAGGCCGAGTGCATGTTGGACCAGTTTTTCGTCGCGCGATCGCACTCCCGGCCGTGCTCGCGTGCGGAGAGTGGGGGTGAGATCATCAAAGGGAGGCGGTCGATTGTTCCGGCGAGTAAGTAGGTTCCACTGCACCGTCAGCTTAAAGGGGTACTCCACCGATTTTTGAGCTACCTCAACTAACTATATTTTCTGACTCCCTGGCCTTTACTCTCTCCGGTATGCTATTTAGAATCGTGAAATTCATAATAGGTATCGTGAAATCGGCAAATGAAAATGATGCCAAAACCAACATTCAAATATACCTGCCCTTTTCAGTGCCGTGACGTCAGTGGCAGGCAGGCTTGCCAGTCGAGCAAGCAGCCAAAAAATAGAATATGCCAATCATTTGTCCCGTGCTAGAGCGCGGGTACTGCTGCGAGCTTCCCAAGCATTCATTTGACACCATGAAACTGCTTCGAATCAGTTTAAAACAAAATCTACAACCCAAAGAGGGAATTCCTGCCTTCCACTGACGTCACTTTTTCATTGTTGCCAGTAGAGACTTCGAGCTTGAAAAACACGGTGAGGACCAAAACTGTAAATTCAATAACTTTGCAAAAAAACAATATTTTGACCTAATATTTGGGATACTATTTTCACGATGTTTGTTGGTTAGTTTAGCAAAATTTCAAGCAAATCGGAGACAATGAAAAAACCAGTGGAGTACCCCTTTAAAGACCGGTCCAGACATCTGCAGCGAGCACCATAGCTACGAGTGCATTTGTTATATCCAGCCGCTCTGCACCACGCATACACTCTTGCTACCATTGCAACGAGAGCAGAAACTCTGGCCAACATGTCGGTCGTCAGCACGGCAGCCGCCTCTCCGTCGCCGTCGGCTGTTTTCGCAGTGCCTCTAAAAAGAAAGGGACGTGCTGCCACTCGCCAGTGTAACAGAAAAGGGACAGACAGTTTTCAATAGCTTCCAGCTTAATTTGTTTTCATTTTTACAGGATAGGGCTCGTGGGATTGAGTGGATGAAAAAAGAAAAGAAACATACGCTGTACGCAATCTTAGACGATCACGACTTCAACCGATAGTACAAATCTCGCCATGCGCTTTTTCTACGATTACGGAAGACGCTACAATTTTAGCCACAATATAACGACATAGAGATATGATTTCGTGATCACATAGACATTGCGAGCGTTCAGAAATTCTACCACTAATCACTTTTCTCGGACGGTAAACGCGTGCGGAAATTTGCATCTTTCAGACACATCTTCAAAAACTGTATGCACCAGTAGTACGCTGAACTTGAGGAAAATCGTGGAGTGTGCAAAATAAGAAATCCGGGCGATATTCGAGGACGCAAATGCTAAGAAAGGACCACTGGAGTCGAGATAAACAAACACGACGGCATGAGCATTTCTGCCGTCTTGAGGGTAGCGCCACATCGCTGCTCAACTATTGAAATCACTGCTGTGGCTGATATCTCGTATGTCTCCCTTACTATAAATTGTACGGATTGGTTTTTGCTATAGTTGTGTCTTTTTATACGAGTTTACGATGGAGGCATTCTCATGTTATAAAACCTTAGGTGCAGATGTGCGAGAATGTTTATTCTGACTGTATACGTGCAGTGAAGAGAAGGAGCTGTGGGTTTAGTTCACACAGGGGGGGGGGGCACAACCAGCCTCCAGAATGTACTAGTTTTCTATACTTGTTTCTAAAAATAAAGCACCTACAAGACGTATGTTCTTCGATGTCTTCTTCTACTGAGGTCATCTGTGGTAAAAATGGTAGTAGGCCTAGCAGGGCAATTTTTCTTGACCCCCATCATTTATACAGGGATCAGTCCTTTGTAACCTCTGTATAGTCCAGTCTGTTTTTGGGGAAAACCTTTGTCATGTGAATATGTTTGCTAAGTCTGTACCTCTCTTATGGTGCCAGTAGGCCTATTGAGCTTCTGGTCTAAGGACGTGATATCCCAGGTGCCACCACAAATGAATTTAGTTGGCATACGAAATGCATCCTGTATTCCATTTAAGTGCAATTCTCACTAAACTGTAGGCATGCCTCGGGCTCTTTGAAGTCGTGGCATACCACAGTTTCTTTTTCATGAGCTTTTTGTTACTGAAGACTCAATAAACTTGTAATTGTAAGACCACATAATAAGAGACAATGATATCAACATGGATGTGTGGTGCAGTAAACTTCTAGGAAATATGGATGTGTGATACACAGTAAGTGTTCAGAAAAACTTGGTCTCAGCCTTTTATGTTAAGGGCCCCTAAAAAGAAAAATGTTTTTTTTAAAGGGTCTGGTTGACACGTGAGTAAAAAAAGAATATTTTTTTTAATATTGACGGCGAGAGATTTATTTGAAATTCTGCGTGCAAATCCTATGACGTCACGGAATGGTCATTCGCTTTTTCGACCTCAACAAGATGGGACTTTCGCTCTTGCCACCTCAGCGTGAAGGTGAAGCTGATCCACCTCTCCTCCACGCGCCCGAAATGCCAAGAGAGAAAACAAGTGGAAAGGAGGTGACTACCAACTAAATTGCGTCTCGCACCGTCAATATTGCTGTAAAAAAAATTTTCTTTTGTGTGAAATTAATTTTTTGACATGCGTGTCCCAACCAGACTGTTTAAAAAAAAAAATCATTTTTTTTTCTTATCAGGGGCCCTTTAAAAGTGAACTGTCTTGCCTTTGTCTTTGGTATCCTCTTCCACAGAAATGCTGCTTATACATTTCCTAGAAGTATGTATAGGCATAGGAACTTTTGTAGCATGGCTCATTTAAAGGGATGGTGAACCGAAATTTGGATTTCAAAAAAACAATGTAGGAGATATAGGCGGGACGCTACAATCCCTACAACACTACTCGTAAGGCAATATCTCGAATGGGCGGCCATATTTTGGGAAAAAGAGGCTGAGATTAAACGAGGGTGACGGAGCGAGGCGCGTGAAGTGAAGATATCTCGTTTCCTCCTTTCTTCGCTTTGCTTTCTCAAGGCAGCGAGGCGGAGAAGACGCGAGGCCGTTCCCTCTCCTTCTTGGAGAAACAAGACGTAAACATATCTGTCAAATGCGCCTCCTTCTTTTTTGAAAAATACGGTCATGCGTTCGAGATATCGCTGTATGAGTAATGTTTTGGTGTTTGTAGCACCCTGTTGCACGCTTTTGCCGCCATATTTTGTTGAATCAAGATTTTGGTTCATCATCCCTTTAAGGGCCTGAAGAAAGTGATCCAGCAAATGACTTATCATAGGGTTGTTTATTTTATTTATTATTTATTTAATGTTCTTTATGGAAGATAAACTTTCTGACAACATACAAGAAAATGTACATTTAAAAACAGTTAATACTTGCATCACAGCCCTATACGCTGGGAAAGTTTGGTCGATGGATGGAGCCTGTCGCCTGCTAAAACAAGCAGACTTTACGATAACACAAAAATGGAGGATTTTGCTTTTGGCCACTCCACTTACGTGCGCTAGTCCAAATGCGCGGTTAGTAGTAGTTTTATAAACACAATTTCTTCGACTCGGACATTTTTCTATGCCTGCAGTTGGTCGCTATATTTAAGCACTGGCCATCTTTCATTGATCACCAAAAACATAACTTACAAATAAGCTTTATTTCTTTTGGATTTAAACAAAATTAGGCTTTCTCAAACAAAAATTAATCTGCCGATTTTTTAGGAGATTGTAGCAGATAAGCAAGGCTGAGCTTTTACTACATGTGCAGTGCCAAAAGCACTTACTTAAATGATAAACACCTTTATTACAATGGTGGGTCACAGCATACTTTGCATGCCTAATCCAGGGTGGGTTCGAAATTCGATAATTCAAAATGGTGGAGGCAAGGTGCTGCCTTCTCGTTGCCTAACTTCCAGCTGTGGTTCTGGATTGTCGGAATCTTCGAAAGTGTGCCATACTCTCCCAGTATAAAGGGCTCTGGCTTGCATAATGTGTCTTTGTGCCTGCTGTTTTATTAGATGGGTTGCAAGACCTTCAATGTTTCCTAGCTGACAGTCATTTGTCCTATTCATTTCAGTATATAACCTTGGCCAGCCTGGTACATATGCAGGCAACGACGCAATCGTTGCCTTTGCCAGGCTCCACGAACTTGTTATAGTTATTCATCAACTAAATACTCCTCTATGGCAGGTGAGTCCTCTTAAGATGCTCTTAGTGTCTTAACCACAATCATTCACTTTGTGTAAATTGTAATCTTGTTAAATCGAGTGATGGCAGGGGCGGATTTAGAACTCCGTTTTGGTGGGGGGGGGGAGAAATTTGTAATGATACTATTCTCCCATTCTTTCTTGTGCACTGGGGGGTCCACCCATGTCAAATTGCCCTCCGAGAAGGGGGGAGGGGGGGCGGTCGCCCCCGTCGCCGCCCCCCCCTTGGATTTGCCCCTGAGTGATAAGAATTCACTGCATCTTTACCGTACGTCTTTACCAATGGTTTGGGGCTGCTGCAAATTACCTTAATTAGACTATCGCAAAAAGACGTGGAAAATACTTGTCTGATGGTCTGATCTTCGGAGATACGATAAAATTTTCACAGTCAAACATTTTAAGCATACCTCAAATCCCGTTGTGTTCTAATATATAAGCTTTGCAGTTGGGCTAACACAAACATTCGAGGCCACAATTTAAAGCTTCGTTGTAAACTGGCCAACCCAGAGGCTTTGACAAGATGATTCTTAAAGGGCAACTCTGCTCAAAAATCATACCAATCTAAATTACTGGTATTGCTTTGGCGGCACAAAGTATGATGACAGCCAAAATATTAAGTTAGAGTGAAGTTGTGTACTCCCTAAATTCGCTATTAAAGACACGGCCAACTGCTCTCCAGCAGGTTAGCTGTTAGTCAAGCAACATTGGCTTACAACTAGGGTTCCGTGTTTTCGGAATAAACTCCAAGAAACGCTCGAAGGTAAAATCTTTGACAATTCTGATATATCCATAAGAACTCTAAATTTCATTGTCACAATGCCAAATAAAAAGTAAAAAATGACTGTATATTACAAATAAAGTTTTTCAAAACACAAGTTTAATAATCCTAAAAAGAAATTGTTTTAATTTTTTTTTTTTTAATTTTGGACAATTGACAAGAGGGAGTTTCCCATTTATCTCGTCAAGGTTCGTTCAGTACAGTGGGCCAATGTACTTTTAAACTACAACAAAAGTCAGTGTTCTGGTTTCCAGTTTGAATTATACCATTTAGAGGGAGTAGGTGTAATATGTTTTCATAAAAGTGAAACGTGTTAACCTATAGATATAGAACAAAAAGAGCAGCTGAAGGTTTTAGGCGTCCAGGAGTTTGGCTATTTTAAAGTATCGACGTATATTGAAGTAACATGGTTTTCAAGATTTGTTGTGGGGCAATTAGTATTGCCAATCGCAAGGGCACCAATGCCAAATCCAGCAGCAGAAATTAGCTATCGGTAATTTTTTGGGAATTTAGTGTTGGTTTTTGTTCAGATATTATTTATTTTTATTTCAAAAAGTAAGGAGAAAGTAAAATTAAACTTCGAAATTTGGATAATTGGGAATCTAACAAAAACAAACTCTAAAGGACCCCGAATTCCCAGCAAAAAATAAACTCCAAAGAACACCCTTCCAATTTCACAAAAAATCAACTCCGAAAACACGGAATCCTAGCTATGATGTACCGTCGGTGCTTTGGTTCTCCCGTGTGCCTTTCCTTCGTTGATTAAAGTAGTAACTTAAGCAGCTTCCCGCAATTTAATGTTTTTTGCTTTGTTTTAGCTGTTTCCATGAGCCTTCAGTGCGTCCTTTTTTGTATATTAGTGCTCCTGCGTGTAAGGTGTGCAATCAGGGCCGTAACCAGGGGGGGGATTAGGGGGTTCTGACCCCCCCCGAAATTTTTTTCTGGGTACGGCCCTGGTCGGTGCACTGGCAGCCAGCCGATTGTAATCTCCACCTCTGCGCACACGCAGTGGCGCCGTTCGGCTACCGGGTACCAAACCGGGACCGGTTCTCCGGTTTGCTGTAACTCTCCATTATATGCCACCGATGCACATGATTCATAGGCGAAAATAAGACAATAGACACTTTCAAAATGGCCGCCGTTGTCCCCGAAAACCCCCCCCGAAATTTTTTTCTGGGTACGGCCCTGTGTGCAATCAAGTGCTATTCTGCACTGCGCCAGAGCGTGAAAGCACCAAATGCTAGCTAAGGCCCAGAAAGAAGCGTCTTCTAAGCGGATAATGGGCTTTCTACGGAATGTCATACAAACTGATTTTTCCTACATGCACTACTTTCGTGCAACGCATAGGACTAAACGACGAGCAGCTTCCCTCACTTGGAATTGATAGCTTGGCGAGGTCAGCTGCATGTCATACCACATACCGTAGAACTGACGTGACGTCGCTGAGCTGATCAGTGTTGTCATCCCTTCCCAGATAGTTTCGGTTTTGCCGTAGGCGCCCGAAACCAAACTTTGGGCCATGATATTCGCAAAACTAGTCACGATATCGAGAAAAAATATGCCTCGTAATTCAGGTACACTGACTGCGTTGGGAGCAGTCGTAATGTCAACTTTAAAAATATTGACCGGAGCTGCCCTTGAACGCCGAAACTTAATGCAAATGAGCCTAATTCGCAGTTAAAGTCTTCCTTTTGTCGTTGTGACATGCACAGGTGAAAGGAACCGACAAGCCGAATGCAGTTGAGCTTCATCTGTCGTACCACAATGGAGACCACTACAACAGCGTCCGGAAGATCGGCGATAATACTCAAAGTCCCGCATGCATCCGATTAGCTGTAAGCCAACACGAAGTTTGAATGCTCGTATGTTGTGTGTATGAGTGTCTTCCTCCTAGGTTTGGCAATTGTAGGTTCACCCATTGCTTTCAATGCCCGCATGCGACGCATGACGACTGTGAGAGCCGACGGCGACGTTCGTGTATTTTTTGTACATAGTCATAATATATTATACACGGATAAATAGGAATACGAACGTGCCCGGCCCGTGAGCTGTACGAAGGATGTGCTTTCAATAAACAGATGCAGGAGCTCACTGTGAAGAGAGTTATGAAACCATAATCCTCGTGTTTTGTGTCCTTGGGCGTGATCCTTTTGTTTTTGCTCGTGACGCTGGAAGGTATCATGCTCACCCTTCCCCAGTTTGCCATCCCAACCATCCCTGCAGCCTCCAGTATGCCTCACTGTTCAGTTCCCCGAGTTTTTGCTTTTCGCATAGCCAGGACGCACTCGAACGGGCGGACTAACCAGAGTAACGGTAGACGTGCCTCCTCAGTCATCCCGCGACTTTGTTCCGAAAGTGAAAGCCGCTTCTTAGGCAGTCACGCCTACACTAAGACCATCACAGTGCAGTGCCCAAGGTGAAGAAGCATCGTTTTGATTTCATTAACATGCATCATCTAGTGCATCATAGTACCATTCTCTGTGTCCTTCTTTCCCTGGCTTGGCTTCTGTTTGCGGCTGTCCAGCTCTGCATGTCCTGTACCTGCACGCCGTGTCAGGCATGCTCTAGAAGCGTACATTAACTTCTTTTCCTCCTTTTTTGTGGCCCAAGGTCTTAAGCAACAGGCAACAGCAACATCTCAAGTTCTTTTTGCATGCCCTGGTCCCCCAGGTGACAAGCTTGGCTCTTGTCGTCCATGCCAAGCCTGAGGCAGTTCAATGCCGGCGCGATTCTCACTCTTCCGGCGGCATACAACCTTTCTCTCTCTCGCTGCGTCTTTTCTTCTGCTCACTGAGTTGCACGATGTCCGAGTGCTCTGTTCCAGTTTTTCCCGCACTTTGGAAAGACTGGACCTGCCTGACTGTGTGCCCCAGTAAACCAATTCATTCTTCGATGCTTCTTTGGACAAAAGGCACCGAGGGCCGAGAAACAGCAAGACCCGAGCAGAAAGGATGTCCCCAGCGAACAGACGGCAGCGCAACTAGAAGAGCAAGTCATGCTTGAGACTGGAGTCCAGGTAGGCCTATTTGCGGGGCATACCTTGCCGAAAGGCCAAGAATGCTGGAACATAGAAGCTATTTTACCACATTAAGAACCTCTGTTTTGTTTTGCTCGTCCATCCCTTGTCCTCAACATGTTACAAACTAGTGTCCTTGTAGAGGACAGTTTTAATGTAGAATAAGGTACAGGGTAGGTTACATAGAGAAAAATGGACATGAGAGTGGACATGGACGTGACATTATTGGCGTCGTGTGACACGTCCCGCTGAAATGAGCAGATTTCCATGAGTTGGTACATCTCAATGAATCGGTAACCGTTGCAGTAGTGTCACTACTGCAGCTGTGCTCCCTTGTGGCTGGTGCCTCATAAGTGTCACCAGATGGTGAATTCCTTTGCCAGATGCTGGATATCTGACAAAATTCTGGAGTCCTTGATGTCCTGGTTAGTGAACCTTGATGCTAGACAAAATCTGGTGGAAATTTGGAAACAAATCTTCCGTGACCCGCAGCGACTGAGAAGGCTACCGCTGTCGCATTAAAGTGGCTGTTGTTCGGTGGCACAAGCAGCTGCTCGGTTGAAGTAGAGCTCTGGCGGTCTATAGTGGAGCCGCAAAGTCAAGGGTTGAGATGGCCATGTCCAAAGAGACAGTTTCATAAACGCGATCTGACAGGGAGTACAAATAATGATTCTTTCTTGTTTTTTTAAAACATGCACGTCTCGAGTGAAAGAAAGTTTATTTTTTTGGTCTCGCAACAAATCTTCGAAAAAAAAAAAAAAAACATTTTACAAAATGTGTGAAGTATGTGCACAACATTTTTTTCTTCGGTCGCGTCACTACAAACGGCGACATTTGCGCTCTGCTGGTTCATTTCGTTTCATAGTAGCTTTGTCTCGTTCATTATGTTGAGACGTGTGCGTGTGTACCGGAAACTGATTAGGGTTAATTCACATTCTTCCTAAGATATCTTCCGAATATGAATGCTCAATCTTTCTAGGAATTATTTATGTTAATTCTATTGTTTGGCGAAATCGGGGGAAGTCTCGACGGGTGTTTGGCGTCGCAACCAGTTTTCCCCACCTGGCAACGCTGCCTCATGACAGTTGTGTGACAAAATCGTGTCATTGTGTCACGTGATGCAGCACAAGCCTACGAGTCTCGGTACAGGCGCGATTCCGCCAACGTTAAAGGGAAGCTACGGATCTTCTTGAAAAAATGAGTTAGAAGTGAATTCTAGTGTATTTTTATCCCGTGAACCCGAATACCAAAACCATTTGCTGCGCAAGTATTGTTAAACGCGAGGAAATGCGAAAGACAGTCGCTGTATGTGACGTCATCGACGGACTTTTTGGCTGCCCAAGGCTAGGGAGTCGGGGCTTCAGCCCTATTTTGAAACTGCTCTTATGGCTTTCCGGCGCGTCGCATTGAAATATATTTGTGTTATCTGTTATTATGAGGGCCCAATGAATGCAATTCAAGTGTTTTTTGTCAAATGCAGAAGTGCCCCATCTTCCCTTTAACGACCGTCTAGCGTGTTTTATGTGCAGGAATTGGGTCGGGGGTGACCAAAACGGGCTGCAATTTTTACAAACAGAAATGATTCCAGCTGTCTCTGTCCTCACCTGGGATGACTTGTGCATGAGTATCGAGTGACTGTCGACATCTTGGACACCCGAGACTGTTCCTAGTGCCAGGTGTTCGAGATGTTGGAAGTTCACCAGCTCGCCTGCATGTTCTCCGTTATTTCTATCGAGTGACTATTCCTACGATACCTCACCGGCTTACGTCATGTGGACTATGGTCGGTGACAGGTTAAGGGTAGAGTGGAAGCTCCTCCCTATTTCTATCCATGCCTTAGCAGAGCAAACGCTGGAGTGGAGGTGACCTCCTCTCCAGCATTTGCTCTCCAGCGTTCCGACCACTGGTAGCAGGATATCTTGGAATGGAAACGGTGGAAGTGTTGTGTCAAAATTGTCCCTACAGCTGGGAGTTGTGCCAGTCGCATTTTCTACGCTTTGCCACTGCCTGGGTGTCGGGGCGTTAATGCCTCTCGAGTGGCCCTTTGCCTTTTGCTTTTGGTTTGCCTAGAGGCCAAAACGGGCTGACGTGGAAGATGTTGGAAGCAAGTAGGCAAAGAAAGAAGCGGATGAAAAGGCTTGAGGGAACCTAAAACATTGAGGGGCATTTGCAGAGGATGTCTGGCAGAGTTGCTCCTAAGAGCCAATTTGTATGCTTTAGTTGTGGCCCTATTATGCAGTCTAGGACAATGCAGGAGCTCTGGCTGTTTTTTTAGCTACTTTAACTAAACTCATTTTGGGAATACCCAGACTTCACTATTCCCTGCATGCTATTCACTATCCCTAAACTCAAAATAGAGAGAACTGCAAATGAAGGTTATGCCGAAACCAACGTTCAAATTTTCCCGCACTGTTTTCCCAGCATTGATTTTCCACCGTCAAACTTTTTCTTACCCATCGGGAACAAGCTGCGCTGGCCCCCTGTTGAGGCATTTCACGTCATGTTTTCAGCGTTCCCAGTGGAGCCTTTCGGATCAAATAAAAAAATTGAATAACTTTGCAGAAAATAATTAGTGTGACTCGTAATATGCGTTCCTTGTTCAGATGCGTCAACTAATGTGTCGAACTAAGTTTGAGGCTAATGAGCGACTAAAAATTTTGCAGTAGTTCCCCTTTAATGTCCAATGCAGTTTTCACTGTTCCCACTTTTGCATCCTTTGGCCTGTAGGCAAAACAAAAATGGTATTATTTTTGGCCGGAGTGACCCTTTTAAGGGGCCGTAAACATTTGGATAGTTTGTGGGAACACAGTTTTACATTTGTTTGAAATGGGTTCACAAATTGTACAGAGCGCGACGCTGGTAGCATGAGCAAGCAGTAGCCGGTTTTTCCCGCATTTCTCTCGACTAAGGATCTGTCATCAAATTTGGTGTCGCGGTTCAATGTATTCCTGCGGGACAACAACCCAGCTGGTAAAATTTGACTTACATCATTATCGTGTCGGAGCAAAGCGCAGGAATATGCTGAAGTCGTTTTCGCGGTCACGGTGTCGTGCACTGCACTTAATAATTCACGCGATTAAATTCCTCACTATTTTCTTTTTCTCATTCGCGACACGCGCCTCATTTTTAGGCTTCGGGTAGCAGCCCGTGTTTCTGGTGCTCGATGCTCAAAAAGAGGAAACTTGCACTTTCCAGGACTTGCAGCTCATCAGGGAAGTATTGCAGGACTACGACTTCAGCAAGCAGGGGGCCGTCGATTATATCCGTAGTCAGAGGACTGCATGCCCCGACAAGGCTGTAGGTGGGTGGAAACTTGGCTTCACACTTTGTTTGCCAGGGCTGTTTCTGAGTGCTACTCAGTTGTAAAAAAAGATGCCTAAATAATTCAGTGATTGGAGTGCAATGAAACCTTTCAGCGAAGTGTCTTCGGGACGTGTGTGGATCATGATCAAACTTCATCAATGTAGGTTTCTGAAAATAAAAATAAATGCAAGAAACACGTTTTTCTAGGATGACCTCAAGGACAACTTCTAGGATAACCTCGAGGACGACCTCCAAAACCACGTCTAGGACGACCTTGAGGATGACTTCTCGGACGACCTCAGACGACCTCGAGGACGACGTCTAAAACGACCTCGAAGACGACGTCTAGGACGACCTCGAGGACCTCAAGGACGACGCCTGGAGAAATTCAGCCTTTCCACTCTGGTGAAAGCCAGAATGGAAAGGCTGGAAAGCTTGCCGCTACCTATGAGCAACGGCGGCAACCAGACAACCGACGGTAGCTGTCTAGAGTTTTGTGTCGACATTTGTTTGTCCACGGACACGATACTGGGGAAACTAGCCCTTAACAACTCCGCTGTAAAACCTTCTAAAGCACATTTTACAACGATGCAAGAGCTGCTGCCGTCAACTGCAGCACACCTTGCGTAGTTGTTCGCAAGATTTGTTCTATGTGAAACAAACATTGCAAGTTTGCAAAAAAAAAAATATGAAATAGCGTGTTTCCGTTTTTCTCCTTGTGCATCACAAGGAGAAAAACAGAAACACGCTATTTCATATTTTTTTTTGCAAACTTGCAATGTTTGTTTCACATAGAACAAATCTTGCGAACAACTACGCAAGGTGTGCTGCAGTTGACGGCAGCAGCTCTTGCATCGTTGTAAAATGTGCTTTAGAAGGTTTTACAGCGGAGTTGTTAAGGGCTAGTTTCCCCAGTATCGTGTCCGTGGACAAACAAATGTCGACACAAAACTCTAGACAGCTACCGTCGGTTGTCTGGTTGCCGCCGTTGCTCATAGGTAGCGGCAAGCTTTCCAGCCTTTCCATTCTGGCTTTCACCAGAGTGGAAAGGCTGAATTTCTCCAGGCGTCGTCCTTGAGGTCCTCGAGGTCGTCCTAGACGTCGTCTTCGAGGTCGTTTTAGACGTCGTCCTCGAGGTCGTCTGAGGTCGTCCGAGAAGTCATCCTCAAGGTCGTCCTAGACGTGGTTTTGGAGGTCGTCCTCGAGGTTATCCTAGAAGTTGTCCTTGAGGTCATCCTAGAAGTCGTCCTAGACATTGTCCTTGAGGTTGTCCTAGACGTCGTCCTCTAGGCGTCGTTTTCTATGTCGTCTTAGAAGTCGTCCTTGAGGTTGCCCTAGACGTCGTCCTCTAGGCATCGTCCTAGACGTCGTAAAGATAACAGCACCGCTGGTCCTCCATCTTCATGAATTGCAAGGGCTCTACATTTCTTCTTTTAGCGGATATGCTTTAGGATATTTGCTTTTAGTAGAATATTGTACGAGATGGGTGCTTTCGGAGGTGTGTGAAAGGGACTTGCGCTCTGCTTCTGGTGCGCATGGTCGGGGTCCTGTGCCCTTTGCTGTTCTTGTGCCACTGCGGCCCCCGACTGCTCTGCTCAGTGCGGAATGCTTGCTGCTTCTGCTCCTCGAATGGAGGGCTGCGGGGAATGGCTATGTTTTGGTGTGGAGGGGGGAGGGGCAACAAATCTGAGTGAGTGTCGTGCATGCGTGCCGGAGAACCTTCCAGAACCACGAAGCGCTTGCGGTGAGCAGACGGGGGGTCAGGGAGAGGGAGTGACACTGGGACATCAAACTGCCTGAATTCACGCGTGTATCATTAATTTTTATTTATTAATTAATACCGCAAACTCATCCGAGTCTGAGCAGGCTCTGCATACGGGGCACTTCGAAAGTAGATTAAAGGAGCAGCTTAATTTTTTCATAATGTGCTGTGGCACTGTTCGGGATGCTCCCAAGTATTTGGAGCGGTCTTTTGCACTACTGTGCCACGGCACAGGTGTCAAGCATGTGGATGGTAATGGCGTTATCGTTGTAAATCTCTCGACTGCAGGGCGCTGGGTCGGCCGATGCTTTGTCGAGTGCTCCCTTCGGAATGTCGCTTTTGCGTCCTTTGTCGATTTTCTTGCTCTCTATGTGGCGTGCATCCGCATCGCACCACGACATTCCTCATCGTTGTCTTGCCGCCGAGTGTGCACTTTCTGCAGCATACATTTTCGCACCCCTGAATCCATTCTTTTCGGTGAGGAGTAGAAACTAGTGTTGCTAATTTTTCAGTTTTCCCACTAAAGTTAGCAGATTTCTAAGTTGTCTAGTGGGGCAAAGTGCAATTTGGCGGGAGGCGGGATTTTGAGCGCTTTTTAAAGTGTTGGCGTTTTTTTAGGTGGCCCAAAAAGTTTTCCAGTTTACACCTGTCAATCATAAATAGCTTAATTTGTGTGGTAAGCTAGAGTCATGGGGTGGTCACGCTCGCTTACTCTCAGCTAAATTCTGGGCGGTGAAAGTAATGTTTCGTGACGCCATTGAGATATTACGGTGGCAAACCTTGAAACATGCTTTCAACCGATTTGTACTTCAATCTATGAACTCGTTTTTCAAGTCTGCCGGAAAAGATAAAATTATGCGCCAGAACTTAAAAAAAAAAAGGTGGGGTTTATGAGGGCTATAGGCTTTTAGACTTATGGCAAATTCCGCTGGTAGATTTGGAGTGGTTACGTAGCGCTTTTACTTGGTATCTTTATGCACATTGCAAACACGAGCAAGCATTCGTTGCTCTAATTTCGCGAGCATGGAGCAGTTTTGGATCACTCCAAGTCTACCAGCTGCATTTGCCATTAGGGATCGACTACTGGAAGTTTCAACAGACCTTAGACAAGTCAGATAGCTCTATTGAAAAATATAACTTTTTGAAAAGCGCGTGAATTGGTTCACTGAAGCTTTGAAGTGCCACCAATTATTACACTAAAGGTCAAAATGATGGAGGTGTGTGTCGTCAGGTACGGCGAGACAACGCGCAAGATCATGCAGTGGACATAGCTCTGTGCGTGGAGGCAGCCTGCCTGAGTGAAAACATAGATGCTTTTAAGAAATCTTTTATTGCAAAAGCATTTACTGTCCCGAGGAGCAAAGCGGCCGGCGTCGGTAACCACGAAAAACGGCACCTAAATTCCCATATTCCCATTGGCTGAGCGAAATTGCACGTCCAAAAGCCATTGGCTGCAACGCGTCATAGTCTCAAGGAACGCCACCAAACAGAGAAGCCCTCTTCCTGGCGCTGCGGCTTGCACGCCGGTAAAGGGGAGAGGGCCGCTCTCATGTCAGGCATGGCCAGGGGGTTGGGGGGAGGGGGGGGGGGAGAGGGAGAGAGAGGGGGAAATTCTTGCTCCCTCTCCCCGTGTATTTCTGTATCAAGTGCTCTACGTTCTGCTTTCAGCAATGTCGCGCCATGCGGCCGGCCTCTGCGGAGGGCAGCGGGGCATGCTGCTTGTAGGAATGCTCTCGCATTCCTACACTTAAGCAGTCTTAAGTGTCCTCCTGTCAACTTTTTTTACTGTACTGTTTTCCGACTAATTATAGCAGTAAATTGAGTTAAAAAGTTGTTCTTGCCCTGCACCTAATATTGAGTGGTTTTTAGTGGCTTTGTGGCATTCCTATTGTGAGTTTTTGATTTTGAGTTGGCAACACCGGTAGGAATGCCCATTAGCTGTCTTTTCATAGGCTGAAGCAACGTTATTAAAACACTCAGTTGGGAAACTCACCTTTGAAACCTGGACTGCTGGCGTCCACCGGGACAAAACAACTTTTAAGACGTGAAAGTTGCTTTATGTGGTTACTGCTAAAGTCACTGAATGTTCCCAGAGTACCGAAATTCCCAGGCTTGAGGCACCAAGAGGGCAGGTCAATCTTTGTTTTCATCGTGGTCACTATGAGCTTTTACAGAGCATGTTTTTGCATAAAAGCAAGTGGAAAAAGCTCTTTTACAGCAGAGGTGTTAAGGGCTAGTTTCCCTAATATCATGTCTGCATGCAAACGAATGTCGACACAAAACTCTGGACAGCAACCGCCATCTATGAGCGACGACAGCAACCAGACAACCGGCTTGCCAATTGTCTGGTTGCCGCCATTGCTCATAGATGTCGACAAGCTTTCCGGCTGTCCACTCTGGTTTTCACCAGAGTGGAAAGACTGAATCTCTCTAGGCGTCGTCCTCGAGGCCGTTTTAGAAGTTGTTCTCGAGGTCGTCCTAGAAGTCGTCCTCTAGGCGTCGTTCTAGAAGTCGTCCTTGAGGTCGTCCTTAAAATCCTCCTAGACATGGTCTTCTAGGCGTCGTCCTTGAGGTAGTCCAAGAAGTCGTCCTAAACGTCGTAAAGACAACAGCTTCGCTGATCCTCCATCTTCACGTGAGGTGGAAGGGCTCTACATTTTTTGTAGGAAATTTAATTAGAGATCAGCGCAGAATGACAGGAGTGTGATGTTTAGTTTACAAGATTTTGCGGCACAATTAATATTGTTTCTATACAACCATGTCTCACCAGTGACTTCAGGTGGCACGTCCTAGCTTCTGTGGTCAATCGCGGCGTGTCCACTTGGGAGACTGGGCTTGGCAGCCCTGAAACCCCTTGCGCCGTATACATTAAAGCAAGTAGGCAGGCGAGCTAGTGAAGGATAGACATGGTAACCCCGTAGCGAGGGGACAAAAAAGGATGGACGTGTCTGTCCGTCCTTTTTTGTCCTCTCGCTCCAAAGTTATCATGTCTCTATACATTTTGACGCAAAAATGGCCGATCAAAGCCAAAATTGAACAGTAAAAGTGAACGCTATCTAATATGATACTCTGGCAACGTAGGGTGACTCTAGCTACTGCCAGATGGCCCTGCCAGCCCTTCCGCGACTCGACGTGAACCAATATGTGCAACTGTGCAGTTCCCGTAGTGGCCGCTGCGGGCGAAATGGTGGCATTGTGATCGCGTTTGGTTTGGTTCTCGAGTACTGATCGGAGCCACTTTTTTAATACAGGCTCCTATGGCAGTTTTTCAATCGAGTATTCTAGTAATGTTGGGCCGGCGGGAAGCAAAGATGGCTTGGAGGCCCAGGGGAGGAATCATACTTTTGGTTTCTAGGTCGGGTGGCGCTAGGTACCACCCGTTATAAAGGCTACAGCCGTTAGCATCCATCCAGCCATCCAGCACGGAGCAATGACGCCATAATTGAGGCATGTGACAACAAATGATAAGAGAGAAAGGAAAAGATTTTTAGCCTTACTGAGGAAGGCTCGAAACCTCTTTTGTAGCTAGAGTTTTATTTTTAGACAGCAGCAGAAACAAGGCAACATTGATAATGGATGGCATGCCCCGTTTCAAATAAGCAGATAAGAAGGAAATACAAAAAAGTTTCCTCATCTACTGAGTCCAAGGGCGACAATTTTGTTTTCGCTTACTTTTCAACACCTTAAAGGCCGACGTACACTTCGCGCTTTCCACGTTTGCCCGCCACCTCCTTTCCTATATCCTCTCCACGTTTTACCTTGCCCCAACCTGGTTCCCCCTCGCAGCTTAGGAGAGGGGAGCGCTAAAAGGATTATCTTCCCTGCAGAAAACTGAGACTGTACGTCGGCCTTTAAGGACTGAAATTACACTTGGGGTTGATTTATTGTCATTTAATGCCGTAGTCAAAACCGATAGAATGAGAATGGCAGACGTGTTCCTTTTAATGCCTCTAGCATGCACTCCGTGCCTTCCGCCTTGTCTTGGCTGCACATGTGCGCTCAACAGTGGCGCATTCAGAGGGGGTCCGGAGGTCCTGACCCCCCCTCTTGAATTCTGCATTTGTAAAAATTTAGGGCGGGGAAATGGAGGGGATGGGGGTCTCAAACATACAATACGCTGACCCCCTCTCTGGAAATACTTGCATCGACCCCTGGTGCTTAAGAATTGCCAGGCGCCAAAGCGCAGTCAAATGGCGTGTTCAGTAGCAGCTCCGGGAGTCAAGGAGCTTGTGCTCCTTGTGCCAGACAGCAAAAAGCGACTTCCGGTGCATGTTACTCCAAAGTAAAGGAGTTGCGCTCCGATATGCCAAATCCAGAGACAGTGTGCAAGGAGTGAAAGGAGTGCGGTACCACGTATTTCAGGATCCCTGACAAAGTTCCAGTGCCGAAAGAGAAAAAACAAACATGGCGGGATAAGCTGCGTCAGCTGCGGCGTGTGTCTGCAGTTTGCTCGCTTTTTGTTGATGAAAAGTGCTCGAGAGGAAACGAGTAATGCATTCGAATTTCATTTCCAGCGTGGGCTCTTTTCAGAAAATGCCCTGGAGCATATTTCGTTTGTTTTGGATGCGCTAATAAACCCCCTAAACATTCATTTGGTGTCAAGTTTTGATCGACGCGTTACGCGGAAACTCTGCTTGTCGACGATGGTTTTGTACGTGCTGAACAGAACAGCCTGCATAGAAGCACCGAAGGACAGGGACAAAGTGAAGGAGGTAACGACAGCACGGGAAGCCGAGCAAGGCAGGGTGCGAGCGTAACTGGTGTGCGGTTGGACGCTTACGCAGAGTGTCCAACCGCAATGTAATACTGAGGCCACGAAATGTCTATTTAAACTGGTCTGAATGCCCACTTCTCCTGACGATGGGATAGCCGTCTTGGTCGACTGCAGTGAACTTGATCGCTCGGAAGTCAACACAACTACCATCGTTGCTAGGAGATGGCCCGCACGGCTCTGCAAATCGGCGCGTATGTAAACATATTGTGGCGTTTTGGGAGGGGGCCGATGTTCCAGGAAGATAGGCACGTTTTAACTAAAAGAGTGTCAGCAAGATTCACGTAAATACCTGTTCGCACTGGGATCGAAACTGCACTGGCACCACGTTCTTGGTAGCCGATTGGGGAGCTATCTTTTACAACCGATTTTATGAACCACTGGGCCAAGACAATGCAGACATGACGCTTGGCAGAGAATGATTGGTCCGGCATAGAGCAGCTCCCAACAACTGTTCTAACTCGACATGTGTTGGTGTACCATTATGTTGGAATAAAATAAACATACTAAAAAAAGTGCATACCCATGTTGCAAAGGTAATCCATATGGCACTTATTTGAGTTCTGTAACACAAAAAAGGGGATAGAATCGACGAGGGTGTCTCTTTTTGATGACGGCGTTCGTCGCCGCTTGATCTAAAAACACACTACGGACGACGAGGGGGAAGACTGACCTTTTTACCCCAAAATAGAAGTCGGGGTTCAAACTATTCGTACGAGAAGGGTCCAGAAAGGTCGCGCGGGCATATTCCATTCAGCAAGCCAGCCGGTCGTGTGCAGAAGGTCTTGTCCCTGGTTGTCGGAGCAACGTTGCATGAGAGTGCTTTGCTGAGCCTAGCGTTCCTTGATATAGTCCTTGGTGGTCACTTGGTCGGTGGGATTGTTGTCGTTGTAGCTTTTTTGGTTATCTGAAGTTCCAGCGTTTGTCTCCACCGCGGCACTCAGTTTCAAGTACTTTTTAGAGCGCAGCTCTTAGGGGCCCGTTTCCGGCTTGAGCGGCGTCGCCGTCGCCGTCGGCGTAACCGCGCGGTGCATCATGGGAAATATCCCATAATGCACCGCGCGAGCCCCCCACCGGGGTCACGTGACTTCGTGGGGAGGCACGTGACCCCCCCCCCGAGGTCACGTGACCCCCCGAAGTCACGTGACTCCCCTGAGGTCACGTGACTTCCCTGAGGTCACGTGACCCCTCCTCGAGGTCACGTGACTCCCCTGAGGTCACGTGACCCCCTCCTCGAGGTCACGTGACCCCCCGAGGTCACGTGACCCCCGCCGATGTCGCGTGACCCCCCGATGACGTCATCGACACTGATGACGTCACCGGCATCCACATCGTCATCGTCATCATCAGTGATGACGATGACGATGCGGATGCCGGTGACGTCATAAGTGATGATGACGATGACGATGTGGATGCTGGTGACGTCATCAGTGATGATGACGATGACGATGTGGATGCCGGTGACGTCATCAGTGATGATGACATCAATGATGATGACGTCATCAGTGACGATGACGATGTGGATGCCGGTGACGTCATCAGTGATGATGACGATGTGGATGCCGGTGACGTCATCAGTGATGACGTCATCAGTGATGATGACGATGCGGATGCCGGTGACGTCATCAGTGATGATGACGATGTGGATGCCGGTGACGTCATCAGTGATGATGACGATGACGATGTGGATGCCGGTGACGTCATCGGTGATGATGACGATGTGGATGCCGGTGACGTTACCGACATCCGCATCGTCATCGTCATCATCACTGATGACGAAATCAGTGACGTCATTGATGTCGTCACCGGCATCCGCATCGTCATCGTCATCATCACTGATGACGTCGTCAGCGACGTCACTGATGACGTCACCGACATTCGCATCGTCATCGTCATCATCACTGGTGAAGTCATCAGTGACATCACTAATGACGTCATCAGTGACGTCAGTGATGACATCATTGGCATCGGGGGTCAGGTGACCCCCCAAGGTCACGTAACCCCCCCTGGTTAGTCTAACCCCCCCCCCCCCCAGCGCCCTTCCCTCCTCCTCCTCAAGAGCTGCGCTCCAATTCGGCGTTACAGGGAGTTGTAAGCGGCTTTCACTTTTTTTTCTTTTCTCTCACTGCTTGTAGTTGGGTCGCGCACGAGAGCACATAGAAATGCACGTTCGTCGTTGCGACGACGTAAGCGAGCGACGTTGCCGGAGATGTGAATTTGATCATAAAAAGTATGTAAACCTCTGGAGCCGTACGTTGTAGGCGTGGTCGTAGAATTTCATCATAGCATTGGAAAAACTTTCAATAATTTTGCTTCATGAACGCGGATTTCTTTGTAGGTTTTGTCGTAACATTGTTTCGCGAATAAGCTCGGTTACCTGCTGCGGACGACGAGGACAAGGCAGACTGGTCATCCAGATACGACTAGGCCGAATTGCTTCTCGGCCATCAGGGCCACTGGTGATGTAGCGGCGCCTTCATAGCCATCATATCCACCGCTCTCATTGCGTTGGTCGGTCATTGCACACTTGAGGCAGCACTGCCAGCTCCGCCGCTCCGTGATATGCTACGGCCCTCGGGTACTTTGACAGAGCGAGATTGTAATGCATTGACACTTCCAAGTGGCAAAGCTTGTAACTACGGTACGCTTGGCCCTTGAGGAGATAGTGACAGCAAGGCCGCGCCCGATCTGCTGGATCTCCCTTATTTCTTGGTGTTTTTTGCATATTTCAAGTTTTGATTCAGTATTCCTTTAAAATGTAGGCCGTTTACCCTTGTAGGTGTTAAACTGGTGGCAGCTCATAAAAGCTGTTTGCTCTACTGATGTCTAACTCCTGGTTAGCTCAGTTGGTAAAGTGCTCCACTGGAAATAGAGAGGTCCCTGGTTCGATACCAGGACCAGGCAGATTTTCTTCAGCGGGCACCAGTCACCTAACTGTGTTTGGAGATTTGTTCTTTGTCCCCCTTGTTCCCCTTCTCCAGGGATTATTTTCGTAATTCTTGTCCTTTGCATCAATCGCATTATCATCATAACCTTCAAATACAGGACATTTACCCTTGTGGGTTAGACTGGTGGGAGCTGATAAAACCCGTTTGCTCTACTGACGTCTAACTCCTGGTTAGCTCAGTTGGTAGCTCCACTGGAAATGCAGAGGTCTCAGGTTCGATACCAGGACCAGTCGCCTAGCTTTGTTAGCTCTTTGTCCCCCTACTCCAAGGATCATTTAGAAATAAGCCCACCAGAAGGTCTGTGGCCCTGTTCTTATGGGTGCTCTGATGCGTAATACCATCGTAATGTGTTCCAGAGTTGAACGAGGAGGTCGAGTCGATCTGGAGCACGGAAGAGACGGGGGCACGGATTCTCGGAGACGCCCCGGTTGTGGCCGTTGCCACCATCGCTCCAAGGAACGGTGTCTCCGAGGACGCCGACGAGACAAAGACCAGGACAGACTCTGCATCCGGTCCTAAGGCAAGTCCTAGGAAAAGAACTTGACAGAGAAAACTGATGAGCGGCGACGTCGTATGTGCCGTCACCGTTCGTGACATTCACGTTGCTACAAGGGGACGTTCCGATGGCCACGAACCGAGCTTGGAGCTTTGCCTCGTGTTTTGCAGCTGAAAGGTATTGGAAATACCTGGGACTTGGCAGAGCAAAGTGCTCGTACCCCTTGGTTACGAGCACTTTATTCTGAAAGGGTGCGGGAGTAGGGTCATTCCATGTCAAACGCCCCAGACGTTGCGCTCGACCATCTTCGATTTCTAAAAAAAATTCATCGCTTTCTGCCCCATTGTGCGTAGCCATGCCCTAAAATATTTTTGACGAAAACATTTTTTTGATAGCGTGAGCACGGTTTTAACTTTTAAAATTAGCGTGAAACTTGGTATTACTCCATCATTTATGAAAAATCAACTTTTTATAACACACCAAAACAATATTTTTTTCTTAAATCTGGATGGCTTTCGACTTGCAATGTGGTTGGGCTTGTGCAGTTTTGTTTAATTTAAATATTTTTTAAAAACACAATTTTTTTGTGAAAATTTTAACATTTTTGGTACTTTATTAAAAAATGTCTAATTCCTCTGGGGACTTAATAGAACTTTTGACCAGCTGCCCTGCAGGTATATAATCTAAAAAAAAAAAATGTTGAAACCACTCATTTAAATATCTCACAGTAAAAAAAAATCCTGAAGTTTACAAAAAAGTGTGTTTTGATGCATAAACAGCCGTTTATTTCACCTTGAGGTGGTCCAAGTAAAAATACAAGATATGGTGGGTTTGGAAAAACAATCGATTGTCTTTGGATTCTGAAAGTTTAATCAAAGCAATTTTTGTTTAAAGCGAGAAAACAAATTTTGAAGTTGAACTCTCGCATCACAACCTGGCGTCGCTTCTTAACGCCTCTTCGCCGCACAGCACGCCACCGGCGACGATAGCTGACACGATTAGGTCCAAAGAAAGAACGGAGTTTACTGCCGCTTCCCCTTGTCACTCTTTTCAGCTGCAAGGAAGAAACGGCGGGCATCGTGTTGATAATCGGAGGGGGACCCCCATCCATAGGGATGGGGGACCCCATCCACAGGGGGGGATGAAGGGGCGTTAGATGATTACAATGAGAAAAGTCAACCTTGAAGCAACTTTGAAGCTCTGAAACGGAATAATCAGCCATCTACTCCATTTCACGATAACTTGGCGAACTGTGGAGGCTAGGGCCCTGCGACCCAATAAGTGCGTCGGAGCGAGGCACGTGACCCGACGTCGCAAGAGATTTGTGTCACCATGCCAAATGCGATGCCTGGGGGAATTGGCTGTCGTCTGCTAGCCGAGAGTCGTCTGCTCCAAAACCAACCCAGGGTGTCTAGCGACCGGGAAAACTGGGAATTCTCAGGGATATTGTCAAAAAGCGAGCCCAGTCAGGGAATATGAGCCGGAAATGCCATTGAGTGCCCTGAGCAAAGACTTGAGGACTTAGGGTCAGAAAAATGGGCAATAAATTACGCTTAGAGCGGAGCGTGGGCTCTGCTTACCCGATGTAGAGTGTGGTACCGCATGCAAAAGGAATGACCGACAAATCCAGTCCAAGCCTTGGAATGGATTGGATTGAGGGCGCGACACTAGGCTAGATCCAGTTAGAGCTACTAGATTTAGTAACAATTGGAAAAGCTGCAGACCCCAATCCAATTCAAGCTGAAAGTATCCGAAACTTTCCAAAAGTCTGCATCCGGCATCCATGCTGCCATTCGGTTATTGAGTAGTGTGGTTGAGTGTCTTGTTTTCATAGTGTTTTCGGAAGTGGCCTCTTCACTGACGATGTTGGCAGCAAGAAAGTGCTCGTTTAGCCCAGGGATGGGCAAAATCATGCAAATATGTATCGAAATACAAAATACTTTGTCAAAAATGTATTTAATTACAAATTTAATTACATTTCCAAAAAAGCATTTAAGTACAAGATACAAATACAACCAAATGTATTTGGTCTCCTCCAGATACTTTTCCAAATATATTCCTCAAAATTTGCGTCAGCGACTTCAGGGCACCTGCAACGGGTTTCTGGGTATCTCATTTTAATTTTGCATCGCACACTCGGGAGTTAGTGTGCGAGGCTCTAGTAATGTAATAGAAATATAATTACAAAAAAATGTAATCAGCTTGGACGTAATAGGTGAAAAAAGTACAGAGCTTCAAGCAGCTTTTTTTGTCGATTACATTTTGGTATAAAACAACAAAGAACCGCGCAGCACTAGCTAGAGAATTTTTTATTGTTGCAACTCGCGCCAGTTACGAAAATCTGGACGACCCGCGCATTTAGAATGTTCCAGGCAAAAATATAGATGGAAATCAGGCTGGAAAGCATCACAAGTTGTCACAGGCACTTATTTAGCCAGTCTGCCTGTGAACGTCGATTTCGTCACTATTCTTGCCCTGGACTGGCACCGTAATCACAAAGTCACTAAACGCTTGTGCTTGATTGAGAGACACTGCATTCGGTGCATAACATAGTTTTCTTCCTGCTCTGGACAGTGACGATAAATTTGAGAGATGTATTTTCGCCCACAAAATTGTATTTAATTACAACTGTCTTTGAAATACCCACATTTTAGTATTTAAATACACACGTCAAATACATTACCCAATTCGTAATTAAATACAAATGCAAAATACACAAAATATATGAAATACATATTTCAAATACTTATATTTGAAATATTGCCCATCCCTGGTTTAGCCCATTCGCTACCAAAGCCGGCAAATCGCAGGGCGTGCCATCAGGGGCCATATTGCCAAAGCCGGTGATTTGCCGGTCTGCATGAATTTCTGTTTTAAAGAGCCATTCATAGATGGTGCGCTATGTAGACTTGGGGTAGTGTAGTACATTGCCAACAAATGGCAAGGGCCATTCTGTTCGTTGTTCGTTTAAGCTTGTTCTTGTTTGCGCGTCTTTCCCACTCGATCGCTGGCTGCTTGGAGAAGGTGGCAGCGTCCAGTGTGCGGTGTGGGCTTTCTGACGATGAAATCATAGATATCCTCTTCGACAGCGATGACGACGAGACATCTGGTGAGGATAGTGAGTTTGCAGAGCTTTCTGTCGACGACGGGAGCGGTTTCGACAGCATTTGCGAGTCCAAATCACGACAAGAGCGCACCGGTTGTGCGACACCTAAGTGACCGAGGATGGAGTGTTTCGAGATCTTTCATACGAGGAAGAATCAGTGAGGGCCTATTGATTTAAAGACTTGAACGAACCACTTAAGCATGTAAATAAACATGTTTTCTTGTTTTCTGCACAGAGTTTTACTCTCAAAGCTAATTATGCAAGCAAAACAATCACACCTAGTGTGGCCCTATTTTAGGGGTGAAAAGCGCGGTACGGATGGCCCGGCAGCGCGGGACGCGTGCAATTAGTGAATAGGTTAATTTTAATTTTGACCGGAGTAACCTGAATATTTCGGAATATGCAAGTTGGATTAAGCCCGTGCAAAATGACCCTCACAATGCTCAATGCCTTGTGTTGTAATGGTCTTATATATTTAACCACCTCTACAGTGGTCAGGGAATTTCAGCTTTAATTGTCAGGGAGAACCTGCAAAAGTCAGGGAATTTCAAAATAAGAATTTGCTAGACACCCTGCAACCAACTTTGGATGAACGTCCCCCGCAGCAGCATATCCGTCCGCTAGAATAGTGAGCACTTTGGGAACAGTTCACGAGACAACCATACGTTCAATCTAGCCTCAAATCTGTGACGGGTGCTAATGCCAGGGCACAGTGCGATGCTTTGAGCGGAAGCAATCGATTACACGGCTGCGATCACCAACGGCCACGGTGCTACGAGGCGAAAAAAATCAAGCGGATACGGATGTGGCATCGCTTTTTTGGTTTAAATATAATTGAAACTCATAAATTTGTGATCATTTATTCCTTATTCTTCATATCTTCCCGTTATAGATTGAATCATGCGAGTTTGATTGCCGTTAAAAGAAAAACAAGCAGGGAACTACTTTTTGTCACGGAGGGCTCTGCTGTTGCGGCGGTAACGAGGCCCCGGTGGCATCGACAATGGAGTGTTAGCACGTGCCTTGCTCCGGCGCCCTTATCGTATCGTGGGGGCCGCAGCCTCCACAGTTCGCCAAGCTATCATGAAATGGAGTATAGTTACTTGGCACACATGGTTCCGTCTATATAGCTTTGTGGGATAGCCAGAATCAACAACAAAAAAAAGTTTTATTGCTTGGCTTGATTGACATTCAAGGGCTTCAGGGACCCCAAAGGGTCTGCACACACCCATTTGAGAACCAGCGACCTAGCCATTTGAAATAAAATGACATCTTTATTTGTGATACACTGCACCATTGCATTTTTTTTCATGCTTTTGTCATAACTACTAATGCAGTGCAAAATACTTGTTTGGTTCATTAACCTAGGTGGTAAAATTTGACGCCCAGCCGTGCCCTTTGAGTAAGACGAGAAAGTGCGTCGATGGTGGAGCTATGTGGAGTACATAGCAAAAGGGGAAACTGTGTCTTCTGGAGGTACCATTTCAAAATGCTCTTTCTCACACAATTTCTGTGCATCATTTTTTAAATAGCAAGCTTTTTCTTTATTTTTTTTGATGGGGTGGAAAGAGGGAGAAAGGTGTTAATGTCTGGATATGGAATATTTCCCTAACTAAACAGATAAATCTGATTAGAGCGACCTTTTATCAGTTGGTTTATACCAACAGTTTCTGCCATCATTTTGCATAGCTGATTTTCCGTCTTACTACTATCTCCCAATGTACTGCTGTATCACAGTTAGAGGGAGCATAAAATTATATTGATTTCAATTCAAAATAATATTCGGGAGCATTGCACAAGCTGAGTAGCACGTGGAAATTATCATCCACAATCTTGGCGTCTGCCACGGAACTTAAGAGCCAAAAACAGTTTTTATTTATTTGGCTTAAATACCCTTGGGGCCAGAGGCATTGCAGAGGGGTAGTGGGTGTGGCAATCATTTATCACTCTCCAGGACAATTTGCCATCTCTGATGGTTACGATATTCTCCAAGAAGTCCTTCCAGCCCACAATAGAAGTAGGCCACTGAGCTGCATTTCGGCCGGGCTATTTGGCAGGACATAACTAGGTGGGTGAAAAGGGGACTGTTGTAAGGTTGCGTGGTAATTAATTTTTGTGCAGAAGACAAAGGCGGGAAATGTCGCACAAGTAGAAAGATGGTGAATGTTACGTTGAGCTTTCATGGTAGACACACTGGAAAAACGCGAGTAATTAGGCAGGTTGAAACGGATCGGTTCTGGATTGATTCAGTTGGGTTTGCTCAACTAAATTGGTGAGGACTCCAAATCGAAGCTACATACTCTAACTTTGGGCAGACAAGGGCAAGATAGAGAAGACGTGTAAGGACAAGAAAGGCAGACTTCAAAGTGTGGTTTGCTGAAGCCATGATAGTATTAATACAAGTATGCCAGGAGGGATCAGAAGTAATTGGACCCCTATTTATACTCATTAGCATAAGCAAGGGCTATACCATGAAGAGTGAACTTTGGTTGGGGATAAGAGAAACATATGCATTTACATTTATTGATGTCAAGAGTCATCTGCCATGTAACGCACCTTTGGAAGACATGCCTGCTGGCCAACTAGCCTGGTGCATGGCAACTTGTCTAGTGCTGCATGGGACTCTTGCTATCCCACAAGGAAGTGCTACACCCTCATTTGCTTCAAAGGGCCGCTCATCTCAGTGCTGCACTGCCACTTGCTTCCGAAGGCTGCACGGGACGCCTGATGCATTGGCGGATTTGATGCTACACTTGTAAAAGAAACGCATAGAGGGACTTTACCCATGCCTGCTGCAGAGGCAGACGTTACTTTCGTTACTCTTTAGTATCCTAATGTCGGTACCTCAGCTGTCCCTAGGCTTAAACTTGCCAGAGAATAGCGCGAAGTAGAATTTACTTGTCTGATTTATAACAGCAGCTATGGCATATTTTGACAACTGGCAGTAAGCCTCCAATCAGAACGTGGCAGCGAAGCGGAAGAATTTTTAGGTAATCAATAATTTTTGGAACCCTCGGTAGAGGTTACGCGCCTTCTTGTTGCACCTCCGCACTCGCGCGCGAGTAGCGCCAGCAATTGCTAGCAGCCGTCGCAGCCATTTGCCATCCCGCCCATCCGCCGGAACGTCGTTGGCGGCGCAGTGGCAGCGTAAACGCATCGCGACGGGTGAAGCTTTGGCGGTGCAGTGGCAGCGTAAACGCATCGCGACGGGTGAAGCTTTGGCGGTGCAGTGGCAGCGTAAACGCATCGCGACGGGTGAAGCTGTTCCCTTCTTTGAATACGTTGTTCGTCGTAACTTACCTTCACGTCTGGCAGTGTCACTTTATCCACTTACTTTTACAAAGGAGAGACGAGATAGGGGCAGCCTTGCAAAATAGCCAACGCGATGCCCTCTCTCCCATTTCCATGCGCTCGTTCGACTCGGCTCTCGGCTGCTCGAACGTTGTTGCCATGGTAACCTGCGCCTGCTCGCGTACACCACGTGGTAGCGGGAGGAAAGGCGATGGGTGGAGCATACCAAGGACTCCCATTATTCTTCGCGTGGCACGCATGGGCTTGTTGCAAAAGGTCTATTTGCTATTCATCACTTTACGCTCGTACCCAAACGTCCTTTATGTTTGACAATGCCGTCACAAAGAATTCTTTTCTTTCAAGTACCCTTTTCTTTTTTGTTGTTTTCAGTCGCTTGAGTAAGTGGACACAAAGCAATAACGGCAGCAGAGTATTTTTTCATCGGAAGCAGACCATGTGCACATAATCTCACGAGCAAACGGTCTCACGGAGTGCTCCTTTCTCCGCAGAAGCGGCTCTCGGCCAAGGCCAAGAAGGAACTGAAGAAGCTGGAGCGCAAGCACAAGAACGTGCAGCGCAAGAAAGGGGACAGCAACACCGTTAAGTCCCGCAACGAGCTGGAGGACAAGACGGCAGACATCATAGTGGCAGACTTCAAGTACCTCACCATCTGAGCACCGAGGGCTTCCTTCCTTTCCCCACAAACTTTCCACTCCGGTCGTCGTGACGTCTCTTTGTCGTTCCGCTAAAGAGGTGCGAAGTGTGAAGACATTCCAGCCGTGTGCCTTACCGATTTGAGCGTCGAGCCTGGTGTTGGTTCGTGTCGACTCGCGTCTTCGAGCATCGCGAAGACAGAAAAGAGTGGGAGGCCAATTCTTGCTTAACTTATTTAGGGGGGAAAAAAAAAGAAAAAGAGAGGAGATGCATGTGAATCTATGTCTGCACGTGTCAACCTTGTTGTGAATAGACGACGAAACGAAGGAGGCGGCTCCAACTGCCGTACCTCTCATTTCAATTTTGGACTCTGCATTTCTCGTCGTAGCTCGACGAACCTCTTCTCTTTCGTTGTTCCGTCGTCGTGGGAACAAGCTAGCATGCGCCGAGGAGGAACTCTGCAATGTAAACTATATTTATTAGAGGACTAACGGAGCGTGCGAGAGATTCGCTCGAATTTTCCGAGCGCCATAGACTGTAAAGATACGATGTTGGTTATAAAGAAAAGGAGTACTACGATATCACTGTGTTTCTTAGTTCAGTTGTAGTAGGAGTTACCCTAGGACATGGCTGATGTTGCGAAGCCATTAACGACTCCGGCGAAATCGACGCCATGCGGCGGCCACATCGAGCTCCGAGAGAAGGTAGTTTTGCCTGTCTCGTCTGCTTTTGCTGGTTGGTTTTCGTAGACAATGTAGCTCTGCGAGCTTGTTTATTGAGATCAACTAAATGCTGCAACAAAACAAAAGGTGAACAAGGATGTGAAAACATTATAGTGCAGTGCAGTTTCTCTCATCCGTGAGATGAAAAGGTACACCATCACACCAAACATGTTCTTGTGGGAAGCGTTTAACAAGTGGTCTAGCGCACACCAGCTCGGAGCACGTGGAGCGAAAGCTCGCGCTGCAGAACCCAGGGGTCCTGGGTTCGAGCCCCACCCCTGCCCGTTTCGATCTGGATGAGCATCGTACCGGCGTGCGGTCGTGTACCACTACTGCGTGGTGCACGTTAAAGACCCCAGGCTAGCGGTTGTACTGCACTGGCTAAATTGCTCATCTACAGCTGGGAGACTCGTCGCCCCTGTGAGGCAGACCAAGTTCTAGGCCGTATAAACATACACACAACCCAATTTTTTTTTTTTAGATTTATAAAATAAAGACTGCCGCAATAGTCCTCAGCATCCTTTCAGTCCGCCAGTTTGCATTTTCCCCCATTTGTTCAGGTTTTACGAACTGGAGCTATGTTTGTGCAGAATACACAGGTCTCGTTATGTTTTGCGCATGGTATGGCAAACGTCTCGTTTGCCATACCATGCGCAAAAGGCAACGCCGGAAACCGAAAAAACCCTATCTGGGGTTCGATTCCGATGTTTACTCCGAAACGGAGGCACTGCACAGGAAGTGCAGGGGAGGTAGGTCCCCCTGCGCAACCCTGTACGGACAACGCTACAGCCACTAAATAGGCTACGCTTCAGAGTAACGACACTTCATCCATCCTTGTTGCTTTCAGAATCGTAGTTGTCGGTTGTCCAAAGCTTTATTCGAAATTGCAAGAAACGCTTTTCCGTCTTCCAGAAACGTTGGAACAGTCTGCGACGGAGCAAAACGATGTCGTCTGAGCTTTCTGTCACAGTATCTAGAAATCTGGAAGTCTCGTTTTCTAATCGTGACCAATCCAGCTGCACCAGTCGACACTCTATCTAGCGGCTTCAGACAGCCCCCCTAGGCAGCGAGGCCGTAGTGCTGCATTTCCTACATCGCCTACCAGAGGCCACCCTAGCAGCACACTTAGGTCTGCAAATGTCCTAATGTACTGGGGATGTCCTACGAACGTCCACAGGACATCCCAGAACGTTAGAACATCCCAAGGACATTCACAGAACTAACTAAGTAAGTGTGCTACTAGGGCAAGGCAAGCCACAGATTGGATACAAGCTTGTGTGTTTGGCCAAGACTCTAGCCCTCAGCAACTAAACACGAGCCGAACGCCGACGCAGCATTTGCATCCAATCTGCGCCGAGTGCTGGTATTTGACGTTGAAAATCCAGCACGACTGGCTCGTTATCTGGGGGGCGATGGAGTGCACCATCAACGGAGCGTTGAGCGGAGGGTAGTGGCCAGGGCCAACCCCCTCTCCAACGAGACAAGGCCTCAGTACTCCTCCCGTGAAAGCCGTTGGGAGTAGCAATGATGCGATTGGCTGGAGTCGTTTTCTAGGACCTTTTGGAGGAGCCAAAGGTACTTTTGGAGCATAAGTACACACTTGATTTCTATCCACACCACTGTGAATATAATATGTTAAAATTTCTGTGTTGGCCTATCCAACTAAACAAGAAAAAAACATGCCTTGCCTTCACATTTACGATGACGAAAGAAGGACATTGAAGACAAACTGGCAACACAGGCTTCACGCGTCTGTGCAACGACAAGTTTGATTTCCTTAAACACAGAACTAGCTGTTTAGTTGCACATAGCAGCACTAGGCATGGCAACAAGATGGTGATCAACGAACGACATCTGAAGGTAGAGGCTTGGGCGAGTTGGCTTTTCATGACTTAAAGGTAACAGCGCAAAAGATGACTTGCACACTCGGACCACATCCACACCGTTAAAAAGGAACTTCTCGCGTCGTGCTATCAAATTTGGTTTGTATCTTCTTCCTTTACACCAATAAAAATTAAGAAAAAAAAACTTTTATTACGCTTAATTTTTTTTTCTTTTTCTGCTGCTAAGTAAGACAACACTTATTCTACATGGTGTTTCACCCTCTTCTAAACGATTTTATGTACTTGTTACTTTCGAGTGAAGTCTAGGTACAACAACAACTTCTCAGAAAGTGATATACGGTAGAAAGATGGCTAATACATGTCTCACTCTGCTTCACAATATTTGCTGCTTCGATTTCTCTTGTGATTGGGTGATGAGTCTTGCTGATTATGGAGTAGTTTTTAAAGTTGGCCGAGTATCCGCAGTCATGGTAGTGAATGCCCAGAAGTCCTGAATCGGCTACTTGGATGCTGTCGTTCTTGTTCTCTTAATCGGTTGTTAACACATCTTCCTGTTTGACCGCTGTAAAGTTTGCCACATGAAAGGGGAAGGGAATAAACCACTCCTTCTGAGCAAGGGATGTAACGGGTTTCATGACTTTTTGTACAGCCTGTATCGGTTTTACAGCGAACCTGTGATGCGCTAGGATCTGGGAACAAAAGCGTCCACGGATGTTGACAGAAAACTCCCCATTGGTCGTGGCATGTATGAATAAAGAAAAATAAAAAGGGGGCAACCAGCATAAGTCAGCCTTCCTTGGCATTATTAGACAGTGAGCTCCTGATCCCTCGTCATAATTTCTATGCATCGTCCGAGAGGTCGTCCTCTAGGCGTCGTCCTAGAAGTTGTCCTTGAGGTCGTCCTCTACACATCGTCCTAGATGTAAAACAAATAACAGCTTCGCTGATCCTTCACCTTTGCGTGAAGTGGAAGGGCTCTATTAAGTTTTTTTTTACATAAACCCGAGGGGTTGCGGGGGTCCGAAAAGACAACATCAATATTTGCTCGGTTACCAATCTTTTTAAGGATATGGGATATGTTGTGAATGTAGGGGATAACTGCCGGCCTTTGGTTTCAGTTTGTTTCATGATTTGCAAGGTGTCGTTTTACCCTTTTTGATTTGTTTAAAGAGGCTTTCAGCGACTGAGGTTAACAGGTGTGATAGTTAACCCGCTCTTCATATCCTGGACACGTGTGCTGCAAAGCTTACTTGGACTGAATGCGGCCAAGACTTGATAATAGAGGTTTTAAAGCACGGATTCACTATAACCTTTTTACCAACCTAGAACGAGCCGAACCATAATTAAGGAGTGGTTGTTTTCCCCCTAGGTTCCTATGACTAACATGCATGGTCGGGCAAAAGAAACAGTCTAAGATCCAGAAATCTTAAAGATCCTTGCTCAGGAAGCTCATCTACTAACAGGGCTAAACACGTTTTAAAATTGGAGAGCATGCTGGGCACAAAGTGCGGGATGACTTATTCGTTGATGTGTAGGAGTACTAAAAAGTCATTACGTAACGAAACACTTTTGTGACTTTTGAGAGGTCTAGGCACATTCGAAGTAATCCGTCGTGATGTGCGAGACATGGATCAGTGAGAATTGCCACTATGCAGCATCCAATGCAGACTCCCTTTTTTTTTTTTTTTGAAGGTATGTGTTTCTGTTCTAAGTTGCAAAGATGGAATTGAGATATCAATGTAAAGGAAGAAGACAAAAATACAAACCAGAGTTGATAGTCAGTGCGTTCCTTCTTGACAGTGTGCGTGTGGTTCAAGTGTGCGAGTTATCTTTTGCACTGTTACAGTGATGTGATTGGCCTAAGCCATTTTGGCGCACGTTTCGAAGCAACCAAAACTGTGTTTTGGAGCAGCAAATGTGGCCTTTGGAGCAACCAAAACAGTGTATTGGAGCAGCAAAAGCAGCTTTTTGAGCAGCCAAGACAGCGTTTCGGAGCAGCAAATGTGGATTTTGGAGCAGATATTCTTAGGAAAATAAAAATATTTGTTTTAAGTGCTGTACAAACGAAGGGCACTTTGTGTTGTGTTGTCTTCTGATGTGACGTGTTGTGACAGAACTCACTGGTTCTGTTTTTACTGCTCAGACATCCCACATGTGTACAGTGCTGTAGGCATTGCCAAGCAATTTCGAAAAACCGCTTGCCGTTTTACTCGTTACCGACGTGCCAGATTTTCGTCAAACGTAAGCGAACGTAAAACAATGAATTGCAAGCGTCCCAGCTGGTGCCTCAATCACGCAATCATGTTCGCATGCACGTGAGGTCAACTTCGACAGGCTTGCTGTTGGGCATGCTTCGCCGCGCGAGCGCAGACAACGGCTGTTCGATCGAAACCGAAACCATGCCCCTCAGCTCCGTCGCTAACTCATCCCCAAAATTGTGCACAAAATGTAACTTTCGAGCATGTGACAAAAACGGTCAGTGGCGCGTGCTTGCCAGGCCGGCAAACAAGGTACAAGCTAAACCCACAAGAAATAAATAACCTGAGTGCATCGATGCAAGATATTGCAAGCCAGCCTCAAAAAGTTCTTGGAGCGCTTTGTGCAACGACTGAACTCGAGACAAACAAGCACGCTGTGCGGGTTCAGCGTGCCGACCTTGCCTTCTTTGCTTTAGATCACTTCTCTTCACCAACTTTCTTTCACGGCAGATTTTTCACGTATCGAGGTCCCTCTAGAAAGAAGGCCCACCGAGAGGAATCTAGATAATCAATACTTTGACGGAGCAGTCTTTGAATTAAAGGTGGATTTTGTAGTAATGTCTGATGTAAACAAGAACAGGAATGGTGATGAACATGCGGCGGGACTTAGTTTCATTTTAGAAAGTACCATATCTGCAGTGATGTGGGGACGGATAGATTCGACGTCGCGCCACCACGGTGACTGAAAGGCAGTGACCAAATATGGTAGTTTTCCTACGGCCGTTGCCTCAGCTCACAAAGTAACTCCTGCCGCG